CCCATACTGAGAGAGCACCGCTCCCTTGGCAAAATCACTGGCATCTGTCTCGACCACCGTTCTCCTACTAGGGTCAAAATGAAGGAGGATTGGAGCGCTTGTGAACAGCCTCTTGAGTTCTTCAAAGGCCTGCTCATGTGCTGCCGTCCAATACCATTTCTTGTCTTTTTGCAGGAGGTCAGTTAATGGCTTGCAAACCTTACTAAAGCCTTCAATGAAACGGCGATAGAAGTTTGCAAATCCGAGGAATGCCTGTACTGCCTTGATATTCTCAGGGATTGGCCATTCCTTAACTGCCTCCACCTTGTCTTCTGACATAGATACTCCTTCTTCCGAGATGTGATAGCCTAGGTACTCTACTTCTCGGACATGGAAGGATGTCTTACTGATCGAGGCACAGAGCTTAGCTTCCCTTAGCTTCTGTAAGACCTTCTTGACCAGTAGCTCATGCTCTTTCTCAGTCTCCGAGTAGATGAGAATGTCGTCGATATAGACAACCACTCCTTCATCCAGTAGTTCCTTCAGCACATCATTGATCATGGCCTGGAAAGCGGAGGGAGCATTGCATAGACCAAACGGCATCACATTATACTGATACAGTCCATAGCGAGTTCTGAAAGCGGTTTTCCACTCATCACCTTCAGCTATCCTGATCAGATTGAAACCGTTCTTCAGGTCTATCTTTGTGAAGATCTTGGCTTTGAACAACCTGTCTCTGAGCTCACTCATGATGGGCAGCGGGTACTTGTCCTTGACAGTGACCTTGTTCAATCCTCTATAGTCCACACAAATCCGCAATGTCCCATCCTTCTTAGGAATAAACAGAATGGGTGCCGCAGCGGGGCTATTAGATCTAGAGATCTTTCCTGAAGACAATTCTTTGTCCAGGTACTCTCGGAGGGCCTTTAATTCTGGAGCGGAACATGGGTACAACGGGCCAAATGGGGGAGCGGTCCCAGGCAAGAGTTTGATTTTTAAATCATTATGGGAATGCGGCGGCATTTCCTCAATCTTCTCTTGACTGAACACATCAGCCCAATCCCGGTATAGGTGGTGTATTTTCTCAGCAATATCACCTCCGTCCTCATCATGCCATACTGAACCAACCAATTGATAGACTGTCTCTTCTTCCTCCAACATCTGGTATGGAGAGATCAGTTCAATCTTGGTGGCCGCTGGGAGACAATTCTGCTTGCAGTAGTCACTCCTCCAGCTCATGGTGTTGAGTTCCCAATTGATGTCCGGGTTATGCTTCCTAGCCCAACTAATTGGCAGGTAACCGGTCATTCCTTCTTCCAAAGTAGCCACTTCCCATCGGAGTGTCTCCTTATGATCTCCCATAGTCATGCGGACCGGGTGAGTGTAATACTCGCCTCCCCCCATCATGACATCTCCTTGAGCATCAAACATTGTCAGAGGTTGATCCCGCCGCACTAAGGGAATTCCATGTTTCCTGACAAAACTCTGGTTGAGGATAGCTCCTGTGCAACCGGTGTCAAACAGGAAAGACCCTTGGGCGCCTTCATCCTTTCCTTTTACTGTCCATGACAATCCTGCCTTCAGTATAGGTCTTTTTCCATGTACTGGTAAAGAAGGAAGCCTCTGTTCCAACTTTCTTTGCTTAACAGCGGGTTCTGCACTCATTTCTCTCTGTCTTTTCAACATAGCTAATAGCTTAGGGCACTACTAAGATCAAAGATCCTTTGGTTCTATTCCCAAGCAATAATATAGCAGGTATGATGTGTAGTAGTCTTAGTAGTGGTTTTCGGGAGTGTCTTCGTAGCAAATGTAACTTTGGTAGAGCACTGACAGACCAGCTGTTTCGGGTCTTAAACCCATCCTCAGAGTGCTTGCAGCAATCAAATAGGCAGAAACACAATCATAATTTATTCAAGAGAAACATAGAAACCGAAAAACCCATATAAAAGAAAACTAGTAAACATAGACTAAAACAGACACTTTTTCTACCAGATGATTTCATTGTCCGAGTCTTGCTCAGGCTGAAAAACAAAATCTTCTGTAACCTCCGGGAGTACAACAAGTGGATCTTCTGCTACTACAGCAGCCACTTTAGCCTTCTTCTGAGAGTTGGACTTGCCATTCCCTCTTTTCCGCTTTTGTACTCTCACTGCTGCCACTCGGACAACAGTAGGTTCCTTGGACCAACAATCGGTCCATTTGTGTCTGGACTTGCCGCACTATTGCACAAGTCAGTCTATGCACTCTACCAATAGGGAGTACCGGAAGGTCATACCTTCAAGCATACTTCTGCTTTCTTTCTTTCTTCTAGAATATCCCCCGGGATACCCTTCAGTTCCACCGCTTTGTCTTTAGGTCCTGGAGTCTTCTGAGGTCCGGAGGAGCTCGCAGCTTCTCTTTTCCTCTTAGGCTGCTGGTCCTTCTGAGCGGGAGGATCTTTCTTGGTCCGAGGGTGCGCTTTCTCAGCTGCCATCCCTTGGTACCTCTCATGAGTATGCCCTAACTCCCTTAGAGCAGCTATCCGCTCCATCAAGGACTTTGGCTTAGGGTTGAAAAGAGCCCAACTCATGCCTAGGTCCGGGAGGAGGGAATTATGAATCTTATCATCCACCAACTGACCCTCATAGCCAGTCTTCCACATCAGCTGAATAATAGTATTCAGGAAGAGGTCTATTCCTCCTCGAGCTGTGTGGGTGAGGGTATTCCATTGGGCTACAGCATCATCTCTAGAGATGGCTTCACCAAAGGCAGCTCTAAAAGCATCCACAAAGGAATCCCAGTGCTTCCATCTCTGATCCAACTGCACCGGTATCCCAGCAAGGCGGTTGGCGGAGGCTTGATCGATTGAATTATGGTATGCCTCATACCATCGAATCGCTGCCTCTCCTTCCATCAAGTTGCCTGCATATCGGATCTTAACCTCCTCAGAGGTAAAGGATAGACTTTCAATGGAGAAGACATTCTCACATTGCCGGATAAAGGTCTCCACTTGCTCCGCCTTGCCCTGGAACTTGGAAGGTGGTGGTGCTTTTGGTTCTCGAGCCCTGGTGGAAGTAGAAAGGGGAGAGGCGGCCGGGGATCGGAACTGCTGGGACATCATAGCCAACAGATTCTTCTGCTGCTTTTCCAACTTCTTCTTAAGATATTTCCGCCAGCCTCTTCTATCACCACCTTCTGGTTCCGAATCGGAGCTGTCAGAACTGTCTGAGTCTCCTGGAGCGGGGGCGCGGGCTACTGGAGGTGGAGGGTTCTGATTTCCACCACTTCCTCCCTGTGCCTGAGCTGAAGAGGGAGCGTTCTGATTTCCACCACTTCCTCCCTGTGCCTGAGCTGGAGGGGGAGCGGCGGCCTGAGCAGGAGGGGCTACAGGTGCTACTGGTGCCGGGTTGCTAGCCAGTGGTGAAGTTGCCGCTGGTTGCGCGGCCCCAGACATGGTGAACCTTCCTGGGTTCCTGGCTAGTGGGCTGGGAGGTCCACGGCCTGCACCTGGGAAGAACTCTCCTTCATAGTCAAAGGATCGGTCAGCTCCTCCAAGGAGTGGATGTGTTCCACCGAAGCGGCTAGGTGGTAAAGGTGAAGCCCCCACCGCTGGCTGCACTATAGGGATAACTCTCCTAGTGGATCGGACTGGGAATGCTGCAAAGGGGCTAGTCTTCCGCTGCATTGTCCTGGTAGCTGCTCTGGAAGAGGATCTGGAGACAGGATTTTGTGCTGGAGTTGCTGGTCTACCCACCACCAGTCTTCCTTCATCAAGGGCTCTCTGTATCTCGGCCACAAAGTCTGGTGGAGTAGCCGGGTTTGTCCACTCAATCTCCATGGCATCGGCATTTAGTTCATCTCTCTCCGCATACCTCCGAAGTTCTTCCTGAACAGAGTTGACCTCCATCCTCATGTACTCAAGAGCTTCTGCCATCAGAGCATTCTGTGCTGCCTGGCGCTCTTGTACAACGAGTAGGGCCTGGCTCCCTCGGGTCAACTGATTCTGCAGGCTGTGCTGGAGGTAGGTCTGGAGCTCTGTGAAGAACTGTTGGACAGAAATCTCGTCGGTATCCTGCCAGGCAGGCTCACAACCGGGGATGTAGGTCTGTAGAGCGGTCCTGGGTTTCTTAACAAGCTGTGTCTGCCCGTTGGCATCAAGCTGGAGGGGCACCGGCTGCCATTCAATCTGAAGAGGCACTTCCGGAGCTGAAAGGGCGGACATTTTGTATAGAGGAAGAATAATCTGAAGGTGACTTGAGCCGTAAAGATTATCTGTAACGGGGGTCCTTTCTAAGAGGAATAGAATCGGATAGAATAGAGACGGCCGTGCAAGATAGACAATCAGGTTGCAGATTATTCAAAGATACTATCGCTAGAACTCAATAATCTTTAAGGGCTCTGCTACCGATAAGAACTTTGTTTTTCTTTCTGATTGAAGACTGGAGAGAACAGGACTGAAGGGCGAGAATGAACCTGAGTACTTATACTCCAAAGGCCTCTATTCTCTGCTCCTAACTCCTTACTAAGTTCCGGTGGGCCTTTCCTCAGTACCGGAAAACAATACCACCGCTACCCCGCTTTTCTCTAAGCGTCAGCAGGTGTTTCCGATACCCAAGGCAACCACCCTTAGTCAAAGCCTTTGTAACACCTGCAGCCTTGGTTGCCACACAACCGAGGACCTGCATGAATGAGCTACCGCTCAGGTGTAAGCTTAATCATTGCTGTAGAGCTTTCGCTTATTGTAGACTTCCCTAGCATAGTCCCTGCCTCTTCGGCGGTCATACAATGCTCAGAGGATACAGAGGATCACCGGACAATCAGAGCTTCACTCTGGCCGGTCTTCTAGTCACTGGCGAGGCATAGACTCGTCAGTCATTGCTCCCATGAATAGATCCCCTTCCTAGCGCCCGGAATGTAGTTACTCTAACAGCTGGTAGCTAACCACACTGCCGGTACTTGCATATCACCGTGCAACTGGCTTCTAACAATAACTCTCAGCATGTAATCGGGCCCTGTGTGTACTCATACACCAGACAGTTGAAATGGCTCCGTTACAGATGCTAGGTCCGGCAGCTGCCGACTACGCTACTTGGACTCGGTTCCGTCAGGAGATCAGGAAACGCTTCTTAAGCACTCAGGAGGCTATGGAAAACGCGATGAAAATGCAGCAGTTTATGTACTCTGCTAACATCGGGGACTATCTGACGAGAATGGAGATCATGAACCAGCATGCTCAGATGAAAGGAGCATCCTATCGCGCCGCCCTGCTCCAAGGGCTACCAAATGAAATCCGGGAGCGCCACTCACGTTTCGATCCAACCGATGACGACTCCGAGTACATCCAACAGTTGGAACGAGCCGGCAAGGCTCACGAGGCTTATCAAGAGCAGATGAAGATGTTGGGGAAAGCGGAGTCGAGGGGAAGGGAGTCGAATAACGGTGGGAACTCGCGGCAGAAGGAGAAGGGGTTTAAGATCAAGGGGAGGGCTCAGACCGAGGAGAAGGAAAAAGGGCAAGAGAAGAAGAGCACCAGCAAGAACAAGTCGGGGAATAAGCCAATATACCACGACTACGACGAAGCCACCAAAGGAGTTCCACAGCCGGTCCGAGAACAGCGAAAGACCGATGGAGCCTGTGTGCGATGTGGCCGAAAGGGTCATCTTTGGAAGTGGTGTCGTTCAGATGCTAATAGCAGTGCATCTATCTCCTCTTTCTCCCGAAAGCGTACCCGCGATGACGATGGCGACCACGATATGGAACCACCGGAACCCCAACCTCAGAGAAAGCGAATGAGGCACCGTGCTAGAAAGCCGGCTGCTACGGCTGCTGCGGAGTACACCAGTGGGCAAGCGTTCGTACGAGAACGCGGATCGGAATCTGAGATGGATTTCGATATGGATTTTTAGAAGGGGACTCTGATGAGTCAGGTCAGGAGTATCCCCAGATTGCTATGTTATCACTGACGGAAAACAATAAAAAAAATATGAAAAGAAAAAGGCGGGAAGGGAGAGCGTCCCAACCGGAGAAAAAACAGAAAATTTTGGAGGAACCTATTCATGGTCCTCGACCTATCGTTAATCAGTTCCTTTGTTTTGCGGAAAAATGTTTACCTTGTAAGGTGTTGTTGGATACTGGTGCAACTGGCCCTGTTTTGTCTGCTGTTTTTGTTGATAGTTTTGAGGTCCCGAAGGTGAAACGAGACGTCCCGGCCCGGGTATTTGGATTTACGGGAGAAGTTATGAAGGGCACGGGACACGCCTTTACACAACCATTAATTATAATGTCAAGAGGGCATCGAACACAGTTATCATTCGAAATCGCCCTCTCCCACTTGGCATCGATGCAATATTACCAAACTGGTGGTTGAAAGAACACAAACCGGTTATAGGGGCAAATGGGGAAGTTTCCTACGATGGTGAGAACTGCAAGAGTCGATGCTTCACTGACAAGGAACCTCGAATAGAAATGGACGAGGGTGTACTGGACGATCCGGAGGCCCAATTTATCGGTAGCATTTGCCTTTTGGAAGATGAATCGGTCAACCTCCGCGAAACTCTTCCCTCTTGGCTCCATGGGTTCCTTAAAGTCTTCCTGCCATCGGAAGCAGACAAATTACCACCGCATCGATCTTACGACCATGCGATAGATCTCGAACCAGGGAAGCAGCCACCATGGGGACCCGTGTACTCCCTATCCGAAGTCGAACTGAAGGTGCTTCGGGAGTACCTAGACAAAATGTTGCGATTGGGAAAGATTAGGCCAAGCAAATCTCCCGCTGGAGCCCCAATCCTATTTGTGAAGAAGAAGGACGGTAGTCTGCGACTTTGCGTTGACTACCGTGGACTTAACCGTGTGTCCATCAAGAACAGGTATCCGTTACCGCTTATGGACGAGCTGCGAGATCGAGTGGCAGGCGCAGTTATCTTCTCGAAGATTGACCTGAAGGAAGGTTATAACCTCATCAGGATCAAAGACGGCGACGAGTGGAAGACAGCCTTTCGTACGCGGTACGGGCATTTTGAGTACCTCGTCATGCCTTTTGGGCTGGCAAATGCGCCGGCGACCTTCCAGAACATGATGAATGATGCGCTGAGGGAATTCCTGGATCAAGGGGTAGTAGTATACCTTGATGATATCCTAATATATAGCAAGTCTCGAGAGGAACACAGGGAGCTGGTCGGCAAAGTACTTAGCAGGCTACAAGAATACAACCTGGTCGCCAACCCGAAGAAATCGTTCTTCGAGCTCACTGAAATCGAATTCCTCGGATACATCCTTGCCCCAGCAGGCGTCACCATGGCACTGGATAAGGTCATGTCTGTTACGAATTGGCAAGCCCCGCGCAGTGTCAAGGAAGTACAGATCTTTATGGGCTTTGCCAACTTCTATAGAAGGTTTATCCACAATTTCTCCGGGGTCTGTAAACCCATTACCGATTGTCTCAGGGGTGATGCTAAGAACTTTGTCTGGTCTATGACGGCCCAAGCAGCCTTCGAAAAACTCAAAACCCTGTTTACGTCTGCGCCGATCTTGGTACACTTCTCTCCAGATCGCCAGACTATCGTGGAAACGGACGCAAGTGATTTTGCTATCGCCGCAATTTTATCCCAGGTTATTGACGGAAAGACTCACCCTGTTGCCTTTTATTCTCGAAAGCTTAACCCAGCGGAACTCAACTACGACGTCTGGGATAAGGAGATGTTAGGAATCGTGTCAGCCTTCAAGCAATGGCGTCACTACCTCGAAGGACCTAGCCGAACGGTCCTCGTCTACACGGATCATAAGAACTTGGAATATTTTTCAACAACCAAGGTTCTTAACCGACGACAGGCAAGGTGGGCTGAGTCTTTGGCGGAATTTGATTTCAAGATTATTTACAGCCCGGGAACCAAAAATGGGAAGGCAGATGCACTATCGCGACGGCCGGAGTACCGTCCTGAAGGGGGAGGCACGCTTGGGAAACAGACGATAGACAGGTTCTTTAAGCCCGGGCAGTTGGCGGAGGAAGAGTTTGTGGTATCAGCGGTGTCGCTTGCCTCCAAGGGGGTGATTGACTGGTCGAAGAACTTTCTGGACCATGTCAGGCAGGCGGCATCGGGAGACCCGATATGGGTAGGAATGAGAGAGAGAGTTGAGCAAGGGGAGAAGCTGGGGGAATTGAAGGATATTGCCGAGAAAGACGGGCTACTCTTCTATAAGAACCGACTCTACATCCCGGCAGACGACCGTATCAAGATCCGAATCGCACAGGCAGAACACGACTCGAAAGTGGCAGGACACTTTGGACAAGACAAGACACTGGAACTCATCACGCGTAACTTCTATTGGCCAAAAATGAACGAGTGGATTGATGACTACGTTCGGTCATGTGACGAGTGCCAGCGCAACAAACCCAGCCGCCATAAAAAATACGGTGCGCTTCTACCACTGTCCACGCCACATTCTGTCTGGCAATCGATATCAATGGACTTCGTCGTGCAGTTACCGGAATCAAAGGGATACAACCAAATCTGGGTAGTAGTCGATAGGTTCTCGAAGATGTCGCACTTCATCCCCCTAGTAGCAGAAACGACCGCGCAGGATTTAGCGAAGATATTCCTCGGTCAAATCTGGCGACTCCATGGGCTGCCTCTTGATATAGTTTCCGACAGGGACGCCAAGTTTACTTCAAGCTTTTGGGCATCCCTCATGGAATTATTGGATGTGAGGATAAGAATGAGTACGGCTTTCCACCCTCAGACCGATGGGCAAACAGAGCGGGTCAACCAAACCCTCGAGCACTACCTGCGAGCGTTCTGCAACTATGAGCAAGATGATTGGGCAGAGCTACTCCCGTTGGCGGAGTATGCTTATAACAACTCGGTTACCACCGCCACGGGTCAATCTCCGTTCTATACCAATTACGGTTACAACCCAAGAACCAACTGGCCGACGGAAGCCGAAGTGGTCAACCCAACCAGTGACCTGTACGCTCACTTCATCCGAGGAGTTCATGATTCTGCTCTCGCTCGCTTAACAGACACCAGGGAGAAGATGGGGAAATACTATGATCGGAGAAGGAACGAACCGCCGAACTTTAAGATAGGCGACATGGTCATGCTCAATGCGGCCAATATCAAGACACGTCGCTCTACCAAAAAGCTCGATCATAAGAAACTCGGTCCGTTCAAGATCATCCGACTAGCGGGAAAACGAGCCTGTGAATTGGAACTGCCACCACAAATCAAAATCCATAACGTATTCCATATTGAACTTTTGGAACGTTACCAACAGAGCAGTATCCCAGGCCGTGAACAACGTCCCCCAACTCCCGAAGAGGTCGACAAGGAAGGAGAGGTTCTGTACGAAGTGGAAAGTATAGTGGGAAGTCGGAAGAGTAGAAGAGGATTAGTGGAATACCTGGTGAAATGGCGGGGCTATTCGATCAGTGACTGTACGTACCAAGTCATGGACGCTATGAACGAGGAGGTACTTGACCTTGTTCGCGACTTCCATCAAAGGAACCCCAAGGCCGTGAAGGACCAACGCCTGAGACTATAGAGGTACCCCACGGGGCTAAGTCCTTCCCCTCCACAGACACCACGGGTGATATGTAGAGCAGGTTTACTGGAACCATAGTCTGTCAGAAGATGTCCCGAGACGTGACACCCTGGAAGGGGGGTAAGCTGTTACGGGCATGCCAAGCATTTACGGAGTGAGAGAAAGGCTAGTAGATACCCCTATACCCTTTAATACTAATAGCAACACCACTATCAACTCCGGTTCGCACCTACGAGGTACGGTGCGATCAATATGCGACCAAATGCGGAGTTGCGGTTTTCCTAGTTAAAAAACACGTTTTCGACTCCAACAATAACCCCCGGAGCGTCAAACCACCGGAGGGGTTGTTTTGGGACCGGTGGATATATGAGGGACAGCTGGAATCAATCGGATCGAAGATCGGACCACCCGGAGCGAATCGGCGCAAGCTACCAGCCGACCGAGTACCTATCGGCGGTACCTGTGGGCATGAGAAGACTCTGCTATGTGGGAAAGCGATGTGGGAAGAGGCCTGAGTAGGTAGCCTTGCCGTCCGAGACCTCCGAATAGCCGACGCTGACGATTATCCACCAGACGGCCGATGGAGAAGAAACATCGACAGGGAAACGTTCATTAGAGGGGATAAATAGGTTGAGGGGTTTCAGCGGGTTTAGGAGTTTGGGTAACGGACTTAGGAGTTAAATGTTCTTGGTTGTTTTTCAGGGTGTCGGGCAGGCCCCGAGTGTATGCTGTATTATTAGAAGACTGGGTCCTCGAGACATAAGCGAGGGATATAAATACTGTGTCATTCACTGACTAGCCAAACCATCATCGGCGAAATCAGAGTCTTAACAATATAAACCGTTGATACGCGAGTTACAACTTTATTTGACTATACTTTTGGAATTACTTTACTCTATCGTGACTTCGAACTCTACCTGAACTATTACGTCGAAGACGGTCGAATTCTATGCGCTAACTCTAGTGAATCTTTGTTGATAACGTAGCTCGCGGGGCCCGTATCGGATCAAGGAGATTCATACTCGACGTTGACTGAAGAGACCTTGGAGACTACTACCTTTGTAGCTGTTAGCCGAACTCTGAGCTCTGCGTAGTGTACTCTTGTGGTCTGGTACGCATCCCTCACAGAAACGTGCATTAGAGTGGATAAATAGGTTGAGGGGTTTCAGCGGATTTAGGAGTTTGGGTTACGGACTTAGGAGTTAAATGTTCTTGGTTGTTTTTCAGGGTCTCGGGCATGCCCCGAGTGTATTCTGTATTATTAGTAGACTGGGTCCTTGAGACATAAGCGAGGGATATAAATACTGTGTCATTCACTGACTAGCCAAACCATCATCGGCGAAATCAGAGTCTTAACAATATAAATCGTTGATACGCGAGTTACAACTTTATTTGACTATACTTTTGGAAATACTTTACTCTATCGTGACTTCGCACTCTACCTGAACTATTACGTCGAAGACGGTCCAATACCATCCGCTAACTCTAGTGAATCTTTGTTGATAACGTAGCTCGTGGGGCCCGTATCGGATCAAGGAGATTCATACTCGACGTTGACTGAAGAGACCTTGGAGACTTCTACCTTTGTAGCTGTTAGCCGAACTCTGAGCTCTGCGTAGCGTACTCTTGTGGTCTGGTACGCTTCCCTCACAGTACCGAGGTAGGTGTTTTCCACTCCTGTATCGCCTTGGTTTTGTCGGTAGCCATGGTAACCCCTTCGCCCGATATAATGTACCCTAAGTACTCCGTACTATCGACGTGGAACTCACACTTCTCAGGCTTGCAGTGGAGCCCCGCCGCTTGTAGTTTGTCCAGGATCATGTTGACATGTCGCTGGTGTTCCTCCTCCGTGTTCGAGTTGATCAAGATGTCTTCGAGGTACACTGTACAGAAGTCGTCGAGGTGGGTCCGGAGGGTGTCGTTCAGGAAGGCTTGGAAGGTGGCGGGTGTGTTGGTGAGTCCGAATGGCATCACCAAGTATTCGAACAGTTCATACCGAGTCCGGAAAGCGGTTTTCCATTCCTCCCCTTCCTTAATCCTAATCTGGTTGTACCCATTGCGGAGATCCAGCTTCGTGTAGATCTTGGCGTCCTTTAGTCTGTCCAGGGTGTCATTGATCAACGGCAGTCGGTAGCGGTTCTTGACGGTGAGGGCATTGAGGGTGCGATAATCCACACATAGTCGTAGGGAGCCATCCTTTTTCTTGATAAATAGGACGGGGACTCCGGCGGGGGAGGAAGAAGAGCGTATGTAACCTCGAGCCAGTTGATCATCTAGGTATTCCCGAAGGGTCTTCAACTCTTCTGACGACATGCCATATAGTGGGCCAAATGGCAGTTGTTTACCTTCTTGCAACTGGATCTCATGGTCGATATACCGATGGATAGGGAGCGCTTGGGCCTCTAATTCTCGGAACAGGTGGAGATACTGGTGGTAGGCGGTAGGGACCAATTCGTCGGTGGAGTTGGGCGGCGTTGGGTTCAGACCGGCAGGACGAGCAGCTAGGAGGAAGAGTTGATTTTCGGGCTGTTGTACTTCCCTACGGAAGCGGGCTGCCGACAGGATGATGGTACGGCGAGGAGCGGTAGGCCTTGGGGGTATTGGGGGTGGTGGTGAGGAGGCGGCAGCGGTAGATCTTGGAGGTACCGGCGGGGGCAGCAGGGTGGCGGCGGCGGCGGTCAGCGGGGGGGAAGCGAGTGTGGAGGTCCATAAGGCCGCGATGTGTTGTCTGCATCGGTCGGCGTGGAAGGAGATGGATCGGTCGGCGAATTGGATTTTGGCGGCGTGATGTTGGAGCCAGGGGAGACCCAGTACCACCTTAGCGTCACCTAGTTGGGTGACAAATAAGGAGATCCCTTCCACGTGGGTGCCTACTTCGAGGCGGAGTTTGCAGGAATGAGTAATAGCTCCAGAAGCAATAGGTCGGCCGTCGATTACCTGTAGCTGCCTAGGTGTGGGGAGTGGCTCGGCAAGGTAGCCGCGGGAGTGGGCAAACGAGGCATCGATAAATCCATACCCTGTGGCTCCCGTGTCGACTAGGGCGTGGAGATAGTCCTTGTTCTTAGACAGCCGTATCGGTATCTCGAATGGTTCATAGTCACTGGGGTGGTGGAGTTGCCCAATCTTAAGTTTGGCACCTATTCGTCTTGACCGTAGTAGTCGCATGGCAGTATGGGGACCGGGGCCGTCCTCAACATGGGCTGTACCCCGGTGGAGGGTGACGAGTGCGGGGAGTAGTGGGGCTCTTAGCTGGTGGAGGGTGTTCAAGACTTTAACCGGTGATGGGTAAGGTCCTAAACCGGTGAGGTAAGGCCGGAGGGGTATAGGGGCTAGTGTCAAAACACACCAGCCCGGGTCATTTCCTGTCGGCCGTCCCCAAGGGATGGAGCGTCGGAGGAGGCGGCGTTGTAGGCGGCGAGTACGCCGGGGTGGCTTCCGTGGAGGGACGTGGTCGGTGAGTGGTTCCTTCATGGCCTGTATGCAGAGTCAACCGAGGAGGTAGGCTACAGTCCAGGCTAGAAGGAACAGTGTGGTGTAAGTGAACATTAGGATGGTGTCTGTGGTCTCCGCGGAGAGCGAGGGTATCGATGGTCGCATAAGCGAGGCGAGTCGGTGGATGTCAGTCGACCATAGACGACGCAACATAGTGTAAGGAACCATGGGCGAGGCAGAAGCTGAGGGGTCGAGGGACATGGTTACGTTCCAAGTGGGAAGAGATAGGCCTCGCACGAGGGCGAGGGGTTGGGCAGTGGTATACCCGAAGGCAGGGACGGGGGTCGGTGCTAGAACAGAGATGGGGACGGCGACGAAGATCTGCACGAAGGCAGAGGTAAAGGTCCATACGAGGACGGAGATGACAGAGGTCGGCATGTTAACCGAGAAGGGCGAGACGAGGGATAGGTACACGGCGAAGGTCAGGACAGCGGAGGCACCGAGCATGATGAACAGCAGACGTAATGTGGATTCAGAGTAAAGAAGTGTATTGAAGCGAAGTGAATCCCCCAAAGTGATAATCCAAAGTAGAATACAAGATGTTGCGTAAGGAAAGAAAAGGAAAGACAACGAAAGACATAAACAACCTTTTATAATACAGAATTGACAACCGATTACTAATACCACAGAACCTTCCAGACTTCCCGATGACTCATACCTTCTCGTATAGCGGTATAGTTCGTAACACTCATCAGTCATTGCTCCCATGAATAGATCCCCTTCCTAGTGCCCAGAATGTAGTTGCTCTAACAGCTGGTAGCTAACCACACTGCCGGTACTTGCATATCACTGTGCAACTGGCTTCTAACAATAACTCTCAGCATGTAACCGGGCCCTGTGTGTACTCATACACCAAACAGTTGAAATGGCTCCGTTACAAGGATATCATCAAGGTATACTACTACACCTTGATCCAGGAATTCCCTCAGCGCATCATTCATCATATTCTGGAAGGTCGCCGGCGCATTTGCCAGCCCAAAAGGCATGACGAGGTACTCAAAATGCCCGTACCGTGTACGGAAGGCTGTCTTCCACTCATCGCCATCTTTTATCCTGATGAGGTTGTAACCTTCCTTCAGGTCAATCTTCAAGAAGATAACCGCGCCTGCTACACGGTCTCGCAACTCATCCATAAGTGGTAGAGGATACCTGTTCTTGATGGACACGCGGTTAAGTCCACGGTAGTCAACCCAAAGTCGCAGAGTACCGTCCTTCTTCTTCACAAATAGGATTGGGGCTCCTGCCGGTGATTTACTCAGCCTAATCTTTCCCAATCGTAGCATCTTCTCCAGGTACTTTCATAGCACCTTCAATACAACTTCGGATAGGGAGTAAACAGGTCCCCATGGTGGCTGCTTCCCTGGTTCGAGGTCTATCGCATGGTTGTAAGATCGATGCGGTGGTAACTTATCTGCTTCCGACGGTAGGAAGACTTTAAGAAACTTATGGAGCCAAGAGGGAAGGGTTTCGCGGAGGTTAACCGATTCATCTTCTAATAGACAGATGCTACCGATGAATTGCGCCTCCGAATCGTCCAATATACCCTCGTCCATCTCTATATGAGGCTCCTTGTCAGTGAAGCATCGACTCTTGCAGTTCTTCCCATCGTAGGAAACTTCCCCATTTGCCCCTATTACCGGCTTGTGTTCTTTCAACCACTAGTTCCATAGTATTGCGTCAATGCCAAGCGGTAGAGGGGCGATCTCAAATGATAACTGTGTTTGATGCCCCTTTGACATTATAACCAATGGTTGTGTAAAGGCGTGTCCCGTGCCCTTCATAACCTCTCCAGTATATCCAAATACCCGGGCCGGTGTGAGGGATGCGTACCAGACCACAAGAGTACACTACGCAGAGCTCAGAGTTCGGCTAACAGCTACAGAGGTAGAAGTCTCCAAGGTCTCTTCAGTCAACGTCGAGTAGAATTCTCCTTGGTCCGATACGGGCCCCGCGAGCTACGTTATCAACAAAGGTTCACTAGAGTTAGCGGATGGTATTCGACCGTCTTCGACGTAATAGTTCAGGTAGAGTACGAAGTCACGATAGCGTAAAGTATATAGAATTGTATAGTCAAATAGAGTTGTAGCTCGCGTATCAACGATTTATATTGTTAAGACTCTGATTTCGCCGATGATGGTTTGGCTAGTCAGTGAATGACACAGTATTTATATCCCTCGCTTATGTCTCGAGGACCCAGTCTACTAAGAATACAGAATACACTCGGGGTCTACTCGAGACCCTGAAAAACAACCAAGAACATTTAACTCCTAAGTCCGTAACCCAAACTCCTAAGTCCGCTGAATCCCCTCAACCTATTTACCCATTCTAATGCACATTTTCTTGTCGATGTTTCTTCTCCATCGGCCGTCTGGTGGGTAATCGTCAGCGTCGGTTACTCGTAGGTCTCGGATGGCAAAGCTACCTACTCAGGCCTCTTCCCACATCGCTTTCCCACATAGCAGAGTCCTCTCATGCCCACAGGTACCGCCGATAGGTACTCGGTCGGCTGGTAGCTTGCGCCGATTCGCTCCGAGTGATCCGATCTTCGATCCGATTGCTTCCAGCTGTCCCTCATATATCCATCGGTACCAAAGCACTCCCCTCCGGCGGTTTGACGCTCCGGGGGTTATTATTGGGGTCGAAAACGTGTTTTTTATGACTCCGTGTTTTGGTCGTGTATTGGTCGCACCACACCCCGCGGGTGCGGTCCAGAGTTGTCATTAGCGTACAGAGGGTATTGGGGTTTCTACTGGCCTTTTCTCTTACTCCCGTAAATGCTTGGCATGCCCGTAACAGAAGTCACGATAGAGTAAAGTATTTCAAAAGTATAGTCAAATAAAGTTGTAACTCGCGTATCAACGATTTATATTGTTAAGACTCTGATTTCGCCGATGATGGTTTGGCTAGTCAGTGAATGACACAGTATTTATATCCCTCGCTTATCTCTCTAGGACCCAGTCTCCTAATAATACAGAATACACTCGGGGCCTGCCTGAGACCCTGAGAAACAACCAAGAACATTTAACTCCTAAGTCCGTAACCCAAACTCCTAAGCCTGCTGAAACCCCTCAACCTATTTACCCATTCTAATGCACGTTTCCCTGTTGATGTTTCCTCTCCATCGGCCATCTGGTGGATAATCGTCAGCGTCGGCTACTCGTAGGTCTCGGACGACAAGTCTACCTACTCAGGCCTCTTCCCACATCGCTTTCCCACATAGCAGAGTCCTCTCATGCCCACAAGTACGGCCGATAGGTACTCGGTCGGCTGGTAGCTTGCGCCGATTCGCTCCGAGTGATCCGATATTCGATCCGATTGCTTCCAGCTGTCCCTCATATATCCACCGGTCCAAAAGCACTCCCCTCCGGCGGTTTGACGCTCCGGGTGTAACGGGGGTCCTTTCTAAGAGAAATAGAATCGGATAGAATAGAGACGGCCGTGCAAGATAGACAATCAGGTTGCAGATTATTCAAAGATACTATCGCTAGAACTCAATAATCTTTAAGGGCTCTGCTACTCATAAGAACTTAGTTTTTCTTTTTGATGAAGACTGGAGAGAACAGGACTGAAGGGCGAGAATGAACCTGAGTACTTATACTCCGAAGGCCTCTATTCTCTGCTCCTAACTCCTTACTAAGTTCCGGTGATGCCTTTCCTCAGTCCGGGAAACAATACCACCGCTAACCCGCTTTTCTCTAAGCGCCAACAGGTGTTTCCGATACCCAAGGCAACCACCCTTAGTCAAAGCCTTTGTAACACCTGCAGCCTTGGTTGCCACACAACCGGGGGCCTGCATGAATGAGCTACCACTCAGATGTAAGCTTAATCATTGCTGTAGAGCTCTCGCTTATTGTAGACTTCCCTAGCATAGTCCCTGCCTCTTCGGCGGTCCTACAATGCTCAGAGGATACAGAGGATCACCGGGCAATCAGAGCTCCACTCTGGCCAGTCTTCTAGTCACTGGCGAGGCATAGACTCGTCAGTCATTGCTCCCATGAATAGATCCCCTTCCTAGCGCCCGGAATGTAGTTACTCTAACAGCTGGTAGCTAACCACACTGCCGGTACTTGCATATCACCGTGCAACTGGCTTCTAACAATAACTCTCAGCATGTAACCGGGCCCTGTGTGTACTCATACACCAGACAGTTGAAATGGCTCCGTTACACCACTCCCCTCTTCCAGGATCTTGGTCTCCGAGATCTATAACCATTCTATTACCTTCTATTCTATATCACAAGAAATTCCGTGATATGCAAGGAACGAAAACCTAAAGGAAAAAACTACACCCCAACAATCCGCTTGTCCTTGGGTTTCTTAGGATACCTCATGTGGAAATCCCGAAGGGCTTCTTCAGCACTCTTCTTGAGATGCTCCCAAGGTTCCCATGTAGCATCCTCGTTCTCATAACCTTCCCACAGCACTAAGTATTCCACTCGTCTCCCTTTCTTATTGACCCGGCTATCTGCTACCTCTCGGACAACCCAGTTCTGTTCTCCTTCAATCTCTTCGGGTTCCGGTGGTGGAACTCTTCTCTCAGGATCTACCGGTGCTCTGTAGGGTTCTAGGAGAGAGACATGAAAGACCGGGTGGATTCCCATTTGAGGGGGAAGAGAGAGCTTGTAGGCACGGGTACCAATAGCTTCTAAGACCTTAAAGGGTCCCATCTTCTTCTGATCCAGTTTTCCCAAAGGCCGCTTTGTTTGCACATTGCGCCGGTCCAACATTACTTCATCTCCAGGCTTGATTTCGGGGGGTGCCAGGGCATGAGTATCATACCACCGGGCCATCCTTAATCTAGCTTTACCCAAGCTGGCATTCATAGCCTGCCAGATAGATTCCCATTGAGATATCATGACCTCACTTGCTGGATTGTTCCATTCTACTCCTTCCTTTGGGGCCGGCAAGTTGGTCCTGGGTTCATAACCATAGTTGGCATAAAAAGCCGATACTTTGGTAGACTCAGAGACCGCCGAGTTATATGCATACTCTGCCAAAGGCAAGAGTTCTGCCCAGTCATCCTGTTGATATGAACAATAACTCCGCAAGTAGTGTTCCAGGGTCTGGTTAACTCTTTCTGTTTGGCCGTCCGTTTGGGGGTGGAAAGATGTGGACATCTTCAGCTTCACATTGAGGAGGCTCCTGAGAGATTGCCAAAATTGAGAGATGAACCTGCTATCTCTGTCCGAGACTATGTCATCAGGCAAACCATGGAGTCTCCAAACTTCCTTCAAGAACAACTTAGCCAAATCTTCCGTTATATTAAGGGTAGGAAGAGGGATGTAATGTGCCATCTTCGAAAAACGGTCCACTTTTACCCAGATCTTTGTAAACCCATTAGATTCCGGTAATCCCACAATGAAGTCCATAGAGATGGAAGTCCATGGCCGATAGGGTATCTCCAACGGTTGGAGCATACCAAACTTCTTGTGTCTTGAGGTCTTATTCCTCTGGCAGCTGTCACAGCTCCGGACATATTCCTCAACATCCTTATCCATGTTGGGCCAAAAGAAGTTGTTTTTCACCCGCTCCAGTGTCTTAAATTGGCCGAAATGACCAGCCACTTTAGAGTCATGGGTATCGGACAGTATTTCCATCTGAAGCTTCTTGTCTTTGGGTATATACCATCTATTCTTGTAGAAGATGAGACCGTCCTTGACCGACAAGTTCTGGTCCAAATTTGGTTTCCTTTCAACCAGGGAGCGGTGCAGATCCTGCCAGAATGTATCCTCTTTAGCTGCCGCATATAGGCGCTCTAAGAATGTATTCTGTAATTGATTCACCCTGACAGCCGCTAGCTTTGCAGGATCCAAAACCAATTGACCTGGCCTAAAAAAGATCTGTGGCTCCGGCTGCAGAGTTTCACCTCCCTCTCCAAGGCGGTGATCCCAGCGCCTAGATAGCACATCAGTCTTGCCATTCTTTTCTCCCGGTCTGTAGACAACTTTAAAATTGTAGCCTGCGAGGTCTTCAGACCATCTAGCTTGCCGCCTAGTGAGAACCTTGGTAGAATTAAAATACTCCAAGTTCTTGTGGTCTGTAAAAACCGTGATTTCCTGCTCACAAGATTTGAGCATGTGTTCCCATTCCCGGAAAGAGGCTACAATAGCTCCCATTTCCTTATCATGAATGTCATAGTTGATCTCAGCAGGGGAGAACTTCTTAGAATAGAATGCCACCGGATGTAGCTTTCCATCGTCCCCATACTGAGAGAGCACTGCTCCCTTGGCAAAATCACTGGCATCTGTCTCGACCACAGTTCTCCTACTAGGGTCAAAGTGAAGAAGGATTGGAGCGCTTGTGAACAGCCTCTTGAGTTCTTCAAAGGCCTGCTCATGTGCTGCCGTCCAATACCATTTCTTGTCTTTTTGCAAGAGGTCAGTTAATGGTTTGGAAACCTTGCTAAAGCCTTCAATGAAGCGGCGATAGAAGTTTGCAAATCCGAGGAATGCCTGTACTGCCTTGATATTTTCAGGGACCGGCCATTCCTTAACTGCCTCCACTTTGTCTTCTGACATAGATACCCCCTTCTCTGAGATATGATAGCCTAGGTATTCTACCTCTCGGACATGGAAGGATGTCTTACTGATCGAGGCACAGAGTTTAGCTTCCCTAAGCTTCTGTAGGACCTTCTTGACCAGTAGTTCATGCTCTTCCTCAGTTGTCGAGTAGATGAGGATGTCATCAATGTAGACAACCACTCCTTCATCCAGTAGTTCCTTTAACACATCATTGATCATTGCCTGGAAGGCGGAGGGGGCATTGCATAGACCAAACGGCATCACATTATACTGGTACAGTCCATAGCGGGTTCTGAAAGCGGTCTTCCACTCATCACCTTCTGCTATCCTGATCAAATTGAAGCCGTTCTTCAAGTCTATCTTTGTGAAGATCTTGGCCTTGAACAACCTGTCTCTGAGCTCACTCATGATAGGCAGCGGGTACTTGTCCTTGACAGTGACCTTGTTCAATCCTCTATAATCCACACAAATCCGCAATGTCCCATCCTTCTTAGGAATGAACAGTATGGGGGCCGCAGCGGGGCTGTTAGATCTAGAGATCTTTCCTGAAGCCAATTCTTTGTCCAGGTACTCTCGGAGGGCCTTCAACTCTGGAGCAGAACGTGGGTATAGCGGGCCAAATGGGGGAGCGGTGCCAGGCAAGAGTTTGATCTTCAAATCATTATGGGAATGCGGTGGCATTTCTCCAATCTTCTCTTGACTGAACACATCGGCCCATTCCCGGTACAGGTGGTATATTTTCTCAGCAATATCTCCACCGTCCTCATCATGCCATACTGAAGCAACCAATTGATAGACTGTATCTTCTTCTTCCATCATCTGGTATGGAGAGATGAGTTCAATCTTGGTCGCCGCTGGGAGATAATTCTGCTTGCAGTAGTCACTCCTCCAGCTCATGGTGTTGAGTTCCCAATTGATGTCCGGGTTATGCTTCCTAGCCCAACTAATTGGCAGGTAACCGGTCATTCCTTCTTCCAAAGTAGCCACTTCCCATCGGAGTGTCTCCTTATGATCTCCCATAGTCATGCAGACCGGGTGAGTGTAATACTCTCCTCCTCCCATCATGATATCTCCTTGAGCATCAAACATTGTCAGAGGTTGATCCCGCCGCACTAAGGGAATTCCATGTTTTCTGACAAAACTCTGGTTGAGGATAGCTCCTCTACAACCGGTGTCAAACAGGAAAGACCCTTGGGCGCCTTCTTCCTTTCCTTTGACCGTCCATGACAGTCCTGCCTTCAGTATAGGTCTTTTTCCATGTACTGGTAAGGAGGGAAGTCTCTGTTCCATCCTTCTGCGCTTAGCAGCGGGTTCTGCGCTTGTTTCTCTTTGTCTTCTCAACATAGCTAATAGCTTCGGGCACTACTAAGATCAACAGATCCTTTGGTTCTATTCCCAAGCGATAATATAGCGAGTATGGTGTGTAATAGTTTTTTGGCAGCGGGTTGGAAGTGTCTTTGTTAGCAAATGTAGCTTTGGTAGAACACTGACAGACCAGCTGTTTCGGGTCTTAAACCCATCCTCAGAGTGCTTGGAGCAATCAAATATGCGGAAACACATTCATAATTTATTCAAGAGAAACATAGAAAGCGAAAAACCCATATAAAAGAAAACTAGTAAACATAGACTCAAACAGACACTTTTCTACCAGAGGATTTCATTGTCCGAGTCTTGCTCAGGCTGGAAAACGAAATCTTCTGTAACCTCCGGCAGTACAACAAGTGGATCTTCTGCTACAACAGCAGCCACTTTAGCTTTCTTCTGAGAGTTGGACTTGCCATTCCCTCTTTTCCGCTTTTGCACTCTCACTGCTGCCACTCTGACAACAGTAGGTTCCTTGGACCAACAATCGGTCCATCTGTGTCTGGACTTGCCGCACTATTGCACAAGTCAGTCTATGCACTCTACCAATAGGGAGTACCGGAAGGTCATACCTTCAAGCATACTTCTGCTTTCGTTCTTTCTTCTAGAATATCCCTCGGGATACCCTTCAGTTCCACCGCTTTGTCCTTAGGTCCGGAGGCCTTCTGAGGTCCGGAGAAGCTTGCAGCTTCTCTCTTCCTCTTGGGCTGCCGGTCCTTCTCAGCTGGAGGATCCTTTTTGGTTCGAGGGGGCGCTTTCTCAGCTGCCATCCCTTGATACCTCTCATGTGTATGCCCTAACTCTCTTAGAGCAGCTATCCGTTCCATCAAAGACTTTGGCTTGGGGGTAAAGAGAGCCCATGTTACGGGCATGCCAAGCATTTCCGGGAGTGAGAGAAAGGCTAGTAGATACCCCAATACCCTCTGTACGCTAATATCAACTCTTGACCACACTCGCGGAGTGTGGTGCGACCAAATTACGACCAAAAAACCCAGAGTCATAAAAAACACGTTTTCGACCCCAATAATAACCCCCGGAGCGTCAAACCGCCGGAGGGGAGTGTTTTGGTACCGGTGGATATATGAGGGACAGCTGGAATCAATCGGATCGAAGATCGGACCGCTCGGAGCGAATCGGCGCAAGCTGCCAGCCGACCGAGTACCTATCGGCGGTACCTGTGGGCATGAGAGGACTCTGCTATGTGGGAAAGCGATGTGGGAAGAGGCCTGAGTAGGTAGCCTTGCCGTCCGAGACCTCCGAATAGCCGACGCTGACGATTATCCACCAGACGGCCGATGGAGAAGAAACATCGACAGGGAAACGTGCATTAGAGTGGATAAATAGGTTGAGGGGTTTTAGCGGGTTTAGGAGTTTAGGGTACGAACTTAGGAGTTAAATGTTCTTGGTTGTTTTTCAGGGTCTCGGGCCTGCCCCGAGTGTATTCTGTATTATTAGACTGGGTCCTCGAGACATAAGCGAGGGATATAAATACTGTGTCATTCACTGACTAGCCAAACCATCATCGGCGAAATCAGAGTCTTAACAATATAAATCGTTGATACGCGAGTTACAACTTTATTTGACTATACTTTCTGAAATACTTTACTCTATCGTGACTTCGAACTCTACCTGAACTATTACGTCGAAGACGGTCGAACATCACACGCTAACTCTAGTGAATCTTTGTTGATAACGTAGCTCGCGGGGCCCGTATCGGATCAAGGAGAATCATACTCGACGCTGACTGAAGAGACCTTGGAGACTTCTACCTTTGTAGCTGTTAGCCGAACTCTGAGCTCTGCGTAGTGTACTCTTGTGGTCTGGTACGCATCCCTCACAGTATATTGTTACTCACAAGTTCACTTGGAGTAACGAAGTCACCTCAAAGAAAAGAACTATCATCGTTATCCCCTATCACAATGACTACCCGAAGGGATAATTACTTCATAGATACCTCGGCCGTAACTGAGGAGGCCGGAGGAGAAGATTCTATGGTGATATCAAGGGCTGCTAGCCCAGACCCTGTGAGGGATGCGTACCAGACCACAAGAGTACACTACGCAGAGCTCAGAGTTCGGCTAACAGCTACAAAGGTAGAAGTCTCCAAGGTCTCTTCAGTCAACGTCGAGTATGATTCTCCTTGATCCGATACGGGCCCCGCGAGCTACGTTATCAACAAAGATTCACTAGAGTTAGCGTGTGATGTTCGACCGTCTTCGACGTAATAGTTCAGGTAGAGTTCGAAGTCACGATAGAGTAAAGTATTTCAGAAAGTATAGTCAAATAAAGTTGTAACTCGCGTATCAACGATTTATATTGTTAAGACTCTGATTTCGCCGATGATGGTTTGGCTAGTCAGTGAATGACACAGTATTTATATCCCTCGCTTATATCTCGAGGACCCAGTCTAATAATACAGAATACACTAGGGGCATGCCCGAGACCCTGAAAAACAACCAAGAACATTTAACTCCTAAATCCGTACCCTAAACTCCTAAACCCGCTAAAACCCCTCAACCTATTTATCCACTCTAATGCACGTTTCCCTGTCGATGTTTCTTCTCCATCGGCCGTCTGGTGGATAATCATCAGCGTCGGCTATTCGGAGGTCTCGGACGGCAAGGCTACCTACTCAGGCCTCTTCCCACATCGCTTTCCCATATAGCAGAGTCCTCTCATGCCCTCAGGTACCGCCGATAGGTACTCGGTCGGCTGGCAGCTTGCGCCGATTCGCTCCGAGTGGTCCGATCTTCGATCCGATTGATTCCAGCTGTCCCTCATATATCCACCGGTACCAAAACACTCCCCTCCGGCGGTTTGACGCTCCGGGGGTTATTATTGGGGTCGAAAACGTGTTTTTTATGACTCTGGGTTTTTTGGTCGTAATTTGGTCGCACCACACTCCGCGAGTGTGGTCAAGAGTTGATATTAGCGTACAGAGGGTATTGGGGTGTCTACTAGCCTTTCTCTCACTCCCGTAAATGCTTGGCATGCCCGTAACAGCTTACCCCCCTTCCAGGGTGTCACGTCTCGGGACATCTTCTGACAGACTATGGTTCCAGTAAACCTGCTCCACATATCACCCGCGGTGTCTGTGGAGGGGAAGGACTTAGCCCCGTAGGGTACCTCTATAGTCTCAGGCGTTGGTCCTTCACGGCCTTGGGGTTCCTTCGATGGAAGTCGCGGACAAGGTCAAGTACTTCCTCATCCATAGCGTCCATGACTTGATACGTACAGTCACTCATCGAATAGCCCCGCCATTTCACCAGGTATTCCACTAATCCTCTTCTGCTTTTCCGGCTGCCCACGATACTTTCCACTTCGTACAACACCTCTCCTTCCTTATCGACCTCTTCGGGAGTTGGGGGACGTTGTTCTCGGCCTGGGATACTGCTCTGTCGATACCGTTCCAAGAGTTCAATATGGAACACATTATGGATTTTGACTTGTGGCGGCAGTTCCAGTTCGCAGGCTCGTTTCCCGGCTAGTCGGATGATTTTGAACGGGCCGAGTTTCTTGTGATCGAGTTTCTTGGTGGAGCGACGTGTCTTGATATTGGTCGCATTGAGCATAACCATGTCTCCCACCTTGAAGTTAGGCGGTTCGTCCCTTTTTCGATCATAGTATTTCCCCATCTTTTCCCTGGTGTCTGTTAAGCGAGCGAGAGCAGAATCATGAACCCCTCGGATGAAATGAGCGTACAGATCACTAGTTGGGTTGACCACTTCGGCTTCTGTCGGCCAGTTGGTTCTTGGGTTATAACCGTAATTGGTATAAAACGGAGATTGACCCGTGGCGGTGGTAACCGAGTTGTTGTAAGCATACTCCGCCAACGGGAGTAGCTCTGCCCAATCATCTTGCTCGTAGTTGCAGAACGCTCGTAAGTAATGCTCGAGGGTTTGGTTGACTCGCTCTGTTTGCCCATCGGTCTGAGGGTGGAAAGCCGTACTCATTCTTATCCTCACGTCCAATAATTCCATAAGGGATGCCCAAAAGCTTGAAGTAAACTTGGCGTCCCTGTCGGAAACTATATCAAGAGGCAGCCCATGGAGTCGCCAGATTTGACCGAGGAATATCTTCGCTAAATCCTGCGCGGTCGTTTCTGCTACTAGGGGAATGAAGTGCGACATCTTCGAGAACCTATCGACTACTACCCAAATTTGGTTGTATCCCTTCGATTCCGGTAATTGCACGACGAAGTCCATTGATATCGATTGCCAGACGGAATGTGGTGTGGACAATGGTAGAAGCGCACCGTACTTCTTATGGCGGCTGGGTTTGTTGCGCTGGCACTCGTCACATGACCGAACGTAATCATCAATCCACTCGTTCATTTTTGGCCAATAGAAGTTACGTGTGATGAGTTCCAAAGTTTTGTCTTGTCCAAAGTGTCCTGCCACCTTCGAATCGTGTTCTGACTGTGCAATTCGGATCTTGATGCGGTCGTCTGCCGGAATATAGAGTCGGTTCTTATAGAAGAGTAGCCCGTCTTTTTCGGCAATATCCTTCAATTCCCCCAGCTTCTCCCCTTGCTCAACTCTCTCTTTCATTCCTACCCATGTCGGGTCTCCCGATGCCGCCTGCCTGACATGATCCAGAAAATTCTTCGACCAGTCAATCACCCCCTTGGAGGCAAGCGACACCGCTGATACCACAAACTCTTCCTCCGCCAACTGTCCGGGCTTAAAGAACCTGTCTATCGGCTGTTTCCCAAGCGTGCCTCCCCCTTCAGGACGGTACTCCGGCCGTCGCGATAGTGCATCTGCCTTCCCATTTTTGGTTCCCGGGCGGTAAATAATCTTAAAGTCAAATTCCGCCAAAGACTCAGCCCACCTTGCCTGTCGTCGGTTAAGAACCTTGGTTGTTGAGAAATATTCCAAGTTCTTATGATCCGTATAAACGAGAACCGTTCGGCTAGGTCCTTCGAGGTAGTGACGCCATTGCTTAAAGGCTGACACAATTCCTAGCATCTCCTTATCCCACACGTCGTAGTTGAGTTCCGCTGGGTTAAGCTTTCGAGAATAAAAGGCAACAGGGTGAGTCTTTCCGTCAATAACCTGGGATAGAATTGCGGCGATAGCAAAATCACTTGCGTCCGTTTCCACGATAGTCTGGCGATCTGGAGAGAAATGTACCAAGATCGGTGCAGACGTAAACAGGGTTTTGAGTTTTTCGAAGGCTGCTTGGGCCGTCATAGACCAGACAAAGTTCTTAGCATCACCCCTGAGACAATCGGTAATGGGTTTACAGACCCCGGAGAAATTGTGGATAAACCTTCTGTAGAAGTTGGCAAAGCCCATGAAGATCTGTACTTCCTTAACGCTACGCGGGGCTTGCCAATTCGTAACAGACATAACCTTATCCAGTGCCATGGTGACGCCTGCTGGGGCAAGGATGTATCCGAGGAACTCGATTTCAGTGAGCTCGAAGAACGATTTCTTCGGGTTGGCGACCAGATTGTATTCTTGTAGCCTACTAAGGACTTTGCCGACCAACTCCCTGTGCTCCTCTCGAGACTTGCTATATATTAGGATATCATCAAGGTATACTACTACACCTTGATCCAAGAATTCCCTCAGCGCATCATTCATCATGTTCTGGAAGGTCGCCGGCGCATTTGCCAGCCCAAAAGGCATAACGAGGTACTCAAAATGCCCGTACCGCGTACGGAATGCTGTCTTCCACTCGTCGCCATCTTTGATCCTGATAAGGTTGTAACCTTCCTTCAGGTCAATCTTCGAGAAGATAACCGCGCCTGCCACTCGATCTCGTAGTTCGTCCATAAGTGGTAACGGATACCTGTTCTTAATGGATACTCGGTTAAGTCCACGGTAGTCAACGCAAAGTCGCAGACTACCGTCCTTCTTCTTCACAAATAGGATTGGGGCTCCTGCAGGGGATTTGCTCGGCCTAATCTTTCCCAATCGCAACATTTTGTCCAGGTACTCCCGAAGCACCTTCAGTTCGACTTCGGATAGGGAGTAAACGGGTCCCCATGGTGGCTGCTTCCCTGGTTCGAGATCTATCGCATGGTCGTAAGATCGATGCGGTGGTAGTTTGTCGGCTTCCGATGGTAGGAAGACTTTAAGGAACCCATGGAGCCAAGAGGGAAGAGTTTCACGGAGGTTAACCGATTCATCTTCCAAGAGACAGATGCTACCGATGAATTGGGCCTCCGGATCGTCCAGTACCCCCTCGTCCATTTCTATTTGAGGTTCCTTGTCAGTGAAGCAACGACTCTTGCAGTTCTCACCATCGTAGGAAACTTCCCCATTTGCCCCTATAACCGGCTTGTGTTCTTTCAACCACCAGTTCGGTAGTATCGCGTCGATGCCAGGTGGGAGCGGGGCGATCTCGAATGATAGTTGCGTTTGATGCCCCCTTGACATTATAATTAATGGTTGTGTAAAGGCGTGTCCCGTGCCCTTCATAACTTCTCCCGTAAATCCGAATACTCGGGCCGGGACGTCTCGTTTCACCTTCGGGACCTCAAAACTATCAACAAAAACAGCAGACAAAACAGGACCAGTTGCACCAGTATCCAACAACACCTTACAAGGTAAACATTTTTCCGCAAAACAAAGGAACTGATTAACGATAGGTCGAGGACCATGAATAGGTTCCTCCAAAATTTTCTGTTTTTTCTCCGGTTGGGACGCTCTCCCTTCCTGCCTTTTTCTTTTCATATTTTTTTTGTTGTTTTCCGTCAGTGATAACATAGCAATCTGGGGATACTCCTGACCTGACTCATCAGAGTCCCCTTTTAAAAATCCTCGTCGAAATCCATCTCAGATTCCGATCCGCGTTCTCGCACAAACGCTTGCCCACTGGTGTACTCCGCAGCAGCCGTCGCAGCCGGCTTCTTAGCACGGTGCCTCATTCGCTTTCTCTGAGGTTGGGGTTCCGGTGGTTCCATATCGTGGTCGCCATCGTCATCGCGGGTACGCTTTCGGGAGAAAGAGGAGATAGATGCACTGCTGTTAGCATCTGAACGACACCATTTCCAAAGATGACCCTTTCGGCCACATCGCACACAGGCTCCATCGGTCTTTCGCTGTTCTCGGACCGGCTGTGGAACTCCTTTGGTGGCTTCGTCGTAGTCGTGGTATATTGGCTTATTCCCCGACTTGTTCTTGCTGGTACTCTTCTTATCTTGTCCTTTTTCCTTCTCCTCGGTCTGAGCCCTCCCCTTGATCTTAAACCCCTTCTCCTTCTGCCGCGAGTTCCCACCATTATTCGATTCCCTTCCTTTCGACTCTACTTTCCCCAACATCTTCATCTGCTCCTGATAAGCCTCGTGAGCCTTGCCGGCTCGTTCCAACTGTTGGATGTACTCGGAGTCGTCATCAGTTGGGTCGAAGCGGGAGTGGCGCTCCCGGATTTCATTTGGTAGTCCTTGGAGCAAGGCGGCGCGGTAGGATGCCCCTTTCATCTGGGCATGCTGGTTCATAATCTCCATCCTCGTCAGGTAGTCCCCGATGTTAGCAGAGTACTTGAACTGCTGCATCTTCATCGCATTTTCCATAGCTTCCTGAGTGCTTAGGAAACGTTTTCTGATCTCCTGACGGAATCGAGTCCAGGTGGCGTAGTCTGCGGCTGCTGGACCTAGCATCTTGGTCTCGATGTACTCCATGAACCATTCCTTTGCTAACCCACACGTATACGTTCCAGCGAACAGTACTTTGTTCCTGTCCGTTCGGAACTTCTTGGGCTTCTGCTCAAAGTAGATCTCGCACTCCATGAGCCAATGCCGCAGGTTATGCTTTCTGGCATTATCGAACTCAAAAGGTATTTTGGCGAGCGAATCTACCATATCGTCGTCTTCAGGCGGCGCGGTATTCCGGTTCCCGCCTCGGTTCCTTCTCCAATTCTTCCGACCGTGCGACCATTCACTATTATCGTCGTCATCATCGTCGGAAGGTTCTGGGTCTCCCCCAACGTTTCCTCTTGGTGGGTTTTGTGGAGGTTGATTCCCACCATTCCCACCAACTGGAGCAGCTCCCACCGGTCCTCTGCCATTATTGCCCTGTACTGGGCCGGCATCCTCCGGCCGCCTGCCCCCACTTCCTCCTACTGGACCAGCGTTTCCTCCTACTGGGCCAGTATTTTCGGGTTTCTTGCCATTGCCAACAGGAACCGTTCGGGGCGCATTAGGGTCTAAAGGAGCACTTGCCACAGAAGGTGCTACTGACAGATGTTGTCGCAGTAGTTCCTCCATCTCGGCTATCCGTTGGTTTCTTTCCGCATCGGACCGCTTGAATTCCGCAAACCAAGCTCGTTGCTCCCCTTTTTCCTGCTCCCGCTCTTCTCTCACCATCCTCAGCTGTCGCTCCGCCTCCTGTAACTGGTTCTGGGTTTGTAGATGACTTTGCTCCAGAACCTTGTGGTCGGCGGCTCGGGCAGCTTCGTGTACTTGTTGGACACTGGAGACGAGTTCAAAGAGCGATTCCAGATGTTGCTTTTGGGCAATGGCTTCTTGCCGTACCTTTTTGTCCAGGATTTGCCCACTCCCTTGGACTTGTTCCTGGAGGTTTTGTAGCTGCTGCCAAACGGCCTGTCCAGCTGCACCAAGATACCTCATTTGTGCCTCATGGGTATCCAAAAACTCCTGCATATTCCTCACGAACTGGGCTTGAGCAGAGCGTTTACTCGTTGACCTAGTTTGTGTAGAGGGTCCTCCCGTGAGTAGGGGGTCGGGGCTAGCAGCCCTTGATATTACCATAGAATCTTCTCCTCCGGCCTCCTCAGTTACGGCCGAGGTGTCTATGAAATAATTATCCCTTCGGGTAGTCATTGTGATAGGGGATAATGATGATAGTTCTTCTTTTGAGGTGACTTCGTTACTCCAAGTGAACTTGCGAGTAACAATATACTGTGAGGGATGCGTACCAGACCACAAGAGTACACTACGCAGAGCTCAGAGTTCGGCTAACAGCTACAAAGGTAGAAGTCTCCAAGGTCTCTTCAGTCAACGTCGAGTATGATTCTCCTTGATCCGATACGGGCCCCGCGAGCTACGTTATCAACAAAGATTCACTAGAGTTAGCGTGTGATGTTCGACCGTCTTCGACGTAATAGTTCAGGTAGAGTTCGAAGTCACGATAGAGTAAAGTATTTCAGAAAGTATAGTCAAATAAAGTTGTAACTCGCGTATCAACGATTTATATTGTTAAGACTCTGATTTCGCCGATGATGGTTTGGCTAGTCAGTGAATGACACAGTATTTATATCCCTCGCTTATATCTCGAGGACCCAGTCTAATAATACAGAATACACTAGGGGCATGCCCGAGACCCTGAAAAACAACCAAGAACATTTAACTCCTAAATCCGTACCCTAAACTCCTAAACCCGCTAAAACCCCTCAACCTATTTATCCACTCTAATGCACGTTTCCCTGTCGATGTTTCTTCTCCATCGGCCGTCTGGTGGATAATCATCAGCGTCGGCTATTCGGAGGTCTCGGACGGCAAGGCTACCTACTCAGGCCTCTTCCCACATCGCTTTCCCATATAGCAGAGTCCTCTCATGCCCTCAGGTACCGCCGATAGGTACTCGGTCGGCTGGCAGCTTGCGCCGATTCGCTCCGAGTGGTCCGATCTTCGATCCGATTGATTCCAGCTGTCCCTCATATATCCACCGGTACCAAAACACTCCCCTCCGGCGGTTTGACGCTCCGGGGGTTATTATTGGGGTCGAAAACGTGTTTTTTATGACTCTGGGTTTTTTGGTCGTAATTTGGTCGCACCACACTCCGCGAGTGTGGTCAAGAGTTGATATTAGCGTACAGAGGGTATTGGGGTGTCTACTAGCCTTTCTCTCACTCCCGTAAATGCTTGGCATGCCCGTAACAGACCCCCTATTGACGGGAGGACCCTCTACAACAACTAGGCAATCGAGTAAACGCTCTGCTCAAGCCCAGTTTGTGAGGAATATGCAGGAGTTTTTGGATACCCATGAGGCACAAATGAGGTATCTTGGTGCAGCTGGACAGGCCGTTTGGCAGCAGCTACAAAACCTCCAGGAACAAGTCCAAGGGAGTGGGCAAATCCTGGACAAGAAGGTGCGACAAGAAGCCATTGCCCAAAAACAACATCTGGAATCGCTCTTTGAACTCGTCTCCAGTGTCCAACAAGTACATGAAGCCGCACGAGCCGCCGACCACAAGGTTCTGGAGCAAAGTCATCTGCAAACCCAGAACCAGTTACAGGAGGCGGAGCGACAACTAAGGATGGTAAGAGAAGAGCGAGAGCAGGAAAAAGGGGAGCAACGAGCTTGGTTTGCGGAATTCAAGCGGTCCGATGCGGAAAGAAACCAACGGATAGCCGAGATGGAGGAACTACTGTGACAACATCTGTCAGTAGCACCTTCCGTGGCAAGTGCTCCCTTAGATCCTAATGCACCCCGAACGGTTCCTGTTGGCAATGGCAAGAAACCCGAAAATGCTGGCCCAGTAGGAGGAAACGCTGGTCCAGTAGGAGGGAATGGAGGCAGGCAACCGGAGGATGCCGGCCCAGTGCAGGGCAATAATGGCAGAGGACCGGTGGGAGCTGCTCCAGTTGGCGGGAATGGTGGGAATCAACCTCCACAAAACCCACCAAGAGGAAACGTTGGGGGAGACCCAGAACCTTCCGACGACGATGACGACGATAACAGTGAATGGTCGCACGGTCGGAAGAATTGGAGAAGGAACCGAGGCGGGAACCGGAATTCGGCGCCGCCTGAAGACGACGATATGGTAGATTCGCTTGCCAAAATACCCTTCGAGTTCGATAATGCCAGGAAGCATAACCTGCGGCATTGGCTCATGGAATGCGAGATCTACTTTGAGCAGAAGCCCAAGAAGTTCCGAACGGACAGGAACAAGGTACTGTTCGCTGGAACGTATACGTGTGGGTTGGCAAAGGAATGGTTCATGGAATACATCGAGACCAAGATGCTAGGACCGGCAGCCGCGGACTACGCCACTTGGACTCGGTTCCGTCAGGAGATTAGGAAACGCTTCTTAAGTACTCAGGAGGCTATGGAAAACGCGATGAAGATGCAGCAGTTTAAGTACTCTGCTAACATCGGAGACTACCTGACAAGAATGGAGATCATGAACCAGCATGCTCAGATGAAAGGAGCATCCTATCGCGCCGCCTTGCTCCAAGGACTACCAAATGAAATCCGGGAGCGCCACTCACGCTTCGATCCAACTGAGGACGACTCCGAGTATATCCAACAGTTGGAACGAGCCGGTAAGGCTCATGAGGCCTATCAAGAGCAAATGAAGATGTTGGGGAAAGGGGAGTCGAGAGGAAGGGAAACGAATAATGGTGGGAACTCGCGGCAAAAGGAAAAGGGGTTTAAGATCAAGGGGAGGGCTCAGACTGAGGAGAAAGAAAAGGGGCAAGACAAGAAGAGCACCAGCAAGAATAAGTCGGGGAATAAGCCAATATACCACGACTACGACGAAGCCACCAAAGGAGTTCCACAGCCGGTCCGAGAACAGCGAAAGACCGATGGAGCCTGTGTGCGATGTGGCCGAAAGGGTCATCTTTGGAAGTGGTGTCGTTCAGATGCTAACAGCAGTGCAATTATCTCCTCTTTCTCCCGAAAGCGTACCCGCGATGACGATGGCGACCACGATATGGAACCACCGGAACCCCAACCTCAGAGAAAGCGAATGAGGCACCGTGCTAAGAAGCCGGCTGCGACGGCTGCTGCGGAGTACACCAGTGGGCAAGCGTTTGTGCGAGAACGCGGATCGGAATCTGAAATGGATTTCGACGAGGATTTTTAAAAGGGGACTCTGATGAGTCAGGTCAGGAGTATCCCCAGATTGCTATGTTATCACTGACGGAAAACAACAAAAAAAATATGAAAAGAAAAAGGCAGGAAGGGAGAGCGTCCCAACCGGAGAAAAAACAGAAAATTTTGGAGGAACCTATTCATGGTCCTCGACCTATCGTTAATCAGTTCCTTTGTTTTGCGGAAAAATGTTTACCTTGTAGGGTGTTGTTGGATACTGGTGCAACTGGTCCTGTTTTGTCTGCTGTTTTTGTTGATAGTTTTGAGGTCCCGAAGGTGAAACGAGACGTCCCGGCCCGGGTATTTGGATTTACGGGAGAGGTTATGAAGGGCACGGGACACGCCTTTACACAACCATTAATTATAATGTCAAGGGGGCATCAAACACAGTTGTCATTCGAGATCGCCCCTCTCCCACTTGGCATCGACGCGATACTACCGAACTGGTGGTTGAAAGAACACAAGCCGGTTATAGGGGCAAATGGGGAAGTTTCCTACGATGGTGAGAACTGCAAGAGTCGTTGCTTCACTGACAAGGAACCTCAAATAGAAATGGACGAGGGTGTACTGGACGATCCGGAGGCCCAATTCATCGGTAGCATCTGTCTCTTGGAAGATGAATCGGTGAACCTCCGTGGAACTCTTCCCTCTTGGCTCCATGGGTTCCTTAAAGTCTTCCTACCATCGGAAGCCGACAAACTACCACCGCATCGATCTTACGACCATGCGATAGATCTCGAACCAGGGAAGCAGCCACCATGGGGACCCGTTTACTCCCTATCCGAAGTCGAACTGAAGGTGCTTCGGGAGTACCTGGACAAAATGTTGCGATTGGGAAAGATTAGGCCGAGCAAATCCCCTGCAGGAGCCCCAATCCTATTTGTGAAGAAGAAGGACGGTAGTCTGCGACTTTGCGTTGACTACCGTGGACTTAACCGAGTATCCATTAAGAACAGGTATCCGTTACCACTTATGGACGAACTACGAGATCGAGTGGCAGGCGCGGTTATCTTCTCGAAGATTGACCTGAAGGAAGGTTACAACCTCATCAGGATCAAAGACGGCGACGAGTGGAAGACAGCATTCCGTACGCGGTACGGGCATTTTGAGTATCTCGTTATGCCTTTTGGGCTGGCAAATGCGCCGGCGACCTTCCAGAACATGATGAATGATGCGCTGAGGGAATTCTTGGATCAAGGTGTAGTAGTATACCTTGATGATATCCTAATATATAGCAAGTCTCGAGAGGAGCACAGGGAGTTGGTCGGCAAAGTCCTTAGTAGGCTACAAGAATACAATCTGGTCGCCAACCCAAAGAAATCGTTCTTCGAGCTCACTGAAATCGAGTTCCTCGGATACATCCTTGCCCCAGCAGGCGTCACCATGGCACTGGATAAGGTTATGTCTGTTACGAATTGGCAAGCCCCGCGTAGCGTTAAGGAAGTACAGATCTTCATGGGCTTTGCCAACTTCTACAGAAGGTTTATCCACAATTTCTCCGGGGTCTGTAAACCCATTACCGATTGTCTCAGGGGTGATGCTAAGAACTTTGTCTGGTCTATGACGGCCCAAGCAGCCTTCGAAAAACTCAAAACCCTGTTTACGTCTGCACCGATCTTGGTACATTTCTCTCCAGATCGCCAGACTATCGTGGAAACGGACGCAAGTGATTTTGCTATCGCCGCAATTCTATCCCAGGTTATTGACGGAAAGACTCACCCTGTTGCCTTTTATTCTCGAAAGCTTAACCCAGCGGAACTCAACTACGACGTGTGGGATAAGGAGATGCTAGGAATTGTGTCAGCCTTTAAGCAATGGCGTCACTACCTCGAAGGACCTAGCCGAACGGTTCTCGTTTATACGGATCATAAGAACTTGGAATATTTCTCAACAACCAAGGTTCTTAACCGACGACAGGCAAGGTGGGCTGAGTCTTTGGCGGAATTTGACTTTAAGATTATTTACCGCCCGGGAACCAAAAATGGGAAGGCAGATGCACTATCACGACGGCCGGAGTACCGTCCTGAAGGGGGAGGCACGCTTGGGAAACAGCCGATAGACAGGTTCTTTAAGCCTGGACAGTTGGCGGAGGAAGAGTTTGTGGTATCAGCGGTGTCGCTTGCCTCCAAGGGGGTGATTGACTGGTCGAAGAATTTTCTGGATCATGTCAGGCAGGCGGCATCGGGAGACCCGACATGGGTAGGAATGAAAGAGAGAGTTGAGCAAGGGGAGAAGCTGGGGGAATTGAAGGATATTGCCGAAAAAGACGGGCTACTCTTCTATAAGAACCGACTCTATATTCCGGCAGACGACCGCATCAAGATCCGAATTGCACAGTCAGAACACGATTCGAAGGTGGCAGGACACTTTGGACAAGACAAAACTTTGGAACTCATCACACGTAACTTCTATTGGCCAAAAATGAACGAGTGGATTGATGATTACGTTCGGTCATGTGACGAGTGCCAGCGCAACAAACCCAGCCGCCATAAGAAGTACGGTGCGCTTCTACCATTGTCCACACCACACTCCGTCTGGCAATCGATATCAATGGACTTCGTGGTGCAATTACCGGAATCGAAGGGATACAACCAGATTTGGGTAGTAGTCGATAGGTTCTCGAAGATGTCGCACTTCATTCCCCTAGTAGCAGAAACGACCGCGCAGGATTTAGCGAAGATATTCCTCGGTCAAATCTGGCGACTCCATGGGCTGCCTCTTGATATAGTTTCCGACAGGGACGCCAAGTTTACTTCAAGCTTTTGGGCATCCCTTATGGAATTATTGGACGTGAGGATAAGAATGAGTACGGCTTTCCACCCTCAGACCGATGGGCAAACAGAGCGAGTCAACCAAACCCTCGAGCATTACTTACGAGCGTTCTGCAACTACGAGCAAGATGATTGGGCAGAGCTACTCCCGTTGGCGGAGTATGCTTACAACAACTCGGTTACCACCGCCACGGGTCAATCTCCGTTTTATACCAATTACGGTTATAACCCAAGAACCAACTGGCCGACAGAAGCCGAAGTGGTCAACCCAACTAGTGATCTGTACGCTCATTTCATCCGAGGGGTTCATGATTCTGCTCTCGCTCGCTTAACAGACACCAGGGAAAAGATGGGGAAATACTATGATCGAAAAAGGGACGAACCGCCTAACTTCAAGGTGGGAGACATGGTTATGCTCAATGCGACCAATATCAAGACACGTCGCTCCACCAAGAAACTCGATCACAAGAAACTCGGCCCGTTCAAAATCATCCGACTAGCCGGGAAACGAGCCTGCGAACTGGAACTGCCGCCACAAGTCAAAATCCATAATGTGTTCCATATTGAACTCTTGGAACGGTATCGACAGAGCAGTATCCCAGGCCGAGAACAACGTCCCCCAACTCCCGAAGAGGTCGATAAGGAAGGAGAGGTGCTGTACGAAGTGGAAAGTATCGTGGGGAGCCGGAAAAGCAGAAGAGGATTAGTGGAATACCTGGTGAAATGGCGGGGCTATTCGATGAGTGACTGTACGTATCAAGTCATGGACGCTATGGATGAGGAAGTACTTGACCTTGTCCGCGACTTCCATCGAAGGAACCCCAAGGCCGTGAAGGACCAACGCCTGAGACTATAGAGGTACCCTACGGGGGCTAAGTCCTTCCCCTCCACAGACACTGCGGGTGATATGTGGAGCAGGTTTACTGGAACCATAGTCTGTCAGAAGATGTCCCGAGACGTGACACCCTGGAAGGGGGGTAAGCTGTTACGGGCATGCCAAGCATTTCCGGGAGTGAGAGAAAGGCTAGTAGATACCCCAATACCCTCTGTACGCTAATATCAACTCTTGACCACACTCGCGGAGTGTGGTGCGACCAAATTACGACCAAAAAACCCAGAGTCATAAAAAACACGTTTTCGACCCCAATAATAACCCCCGGAGCGTCAAACCGCCGGAGGGGAGTGTTTTGGTACCGGTGGATATATGAGGGACAGCTGGAATCAATCGGATCGAAGATCGGACCGCTCGGAGCGAATCGGCGCAAGCTGCCAGCCGACCGAGTACCTATCGGCGGTACCTGTGGGCATGAGAGGACTCTGCTATGTGGGAAAGCGATGTGGGAAGAGGCCTGAGTAGGTAGCCTTGCCGTCCGAGACCTCCGAATAGCCGACGCTGACGATTATCCACCAGACGGCCGATGGAGAAGAAACATCGACAGGGAAACGTGCATTAGAGTGGATAAATAGGTTGAGGGGTTTTAGCGGGTTTAGGAGTTTAGGGTACGAACTTAGGAGTTAAATGTTCTTGGTTGTTTTTCAGGGTCTCGGGCCTGCCCCGAGTGTATTCTGTATTATTAGACTGGGTCCTCGAGACATAAGCGAGGGATATAAATACTGTGTCATTCACTGACTAGCCAAACCATCATCGGCGAAATCAGAGTCTTAACAATATAAATCGTTGATACGCGAGTTACAACTTTATTTGACTATACTTTCTGAAATACTTTACTCTATCGTGACTTCGAACTCTACCTGAACTATTACGTCGAAGACGGTCGAACATCACACGCTAACTCTAGTGAATCTTTGTTGATAACGTAGCTCGCGGGGCCCGTATCGGATCAAGGAGAATCATACTCGACGCTGACTGAAGAGACCTTGGAGACTTCTACCTTTGTAGCTGTTAGCCGAACTCTGAGCTCTGCGTAGTGTACTCTTGTGGTCTGGTACGCATCCCTCACAGCCCAACTCATGCCTAGGTCCGCAAGGAGGGAATTGTGGATCTTGTCATCCACCAACTAACCCTCATAGCCAGTCTTCCAAATCAGCTGAATAATAGTATTCAGGAAGAGGTCTATTCCTCCTCGAGCAGTGTGGGTAAGGGCATTCCATTGGGCTACAGCATCATCTCTAGAGATGGCTTCACCGAAGGCTGCTCTAAAAGCATCCACAAAGGAATCCCAGCGCTTCCATCTCTCATCTAATTTCACTGACATCCCGCCAGCAAGACGGTTGGCGGAGGCTTGATCAATTGAATTGTGGTATGCCTCATACCATCGGATTGCTGCTTCTCCTTCCATCAAGTTGCCTGCATAGCGGATCTTAACCTCCTCAGAGGTGAAGGATAGGCTCTCTATGGAGAACACATTTTCACATTGCCGGATGAAGGTCTCCACTTGCTCCGCTTTGCCTTGGAACTTGGAGGGAGGTGGTGCTTTTGGTTCTCGGGCCCTGCTAGGTCCAGAAGGGGGAGAGGCGGCCGGAGGTCGGTACTGCTGGGACATCATTTCCCACAGCTTCTTCTGCTGCTTCTCCAACTTCTTCTTGAGGTATCTCCGCCAGCCTCTTCTATCACCACCTTCTGGTTCCGAGTCTGAACTGTCAGAACTGTCGGAATCCCCTGGTGCGGGAGCACGAGCCACTGGAGGTGGGGGGTTCTGATTCCCACCGCTACCACCCTGTGCATTAGCTGGAGGGGGAGCGGCGGCCGCAGCAGGAGGGGCTACAGGTGCTACTGGTGCCGGATTGCTGGCCAATGGTCAGGTTGCTGCTGCTTGAGCGGCCCCAGACATAGTAAACCTTCCCGGGTTCCTGGCTAGCGGACTAGGAGGTCCTCGGCCTGCACCTGAGTAGAGCTCTCCTTCATAGTCAAAGGATCAGTCGGATCCTCCAAGGAGTGGGTGTGCTCCACCGAAGCAGCTGGGAGGTAAGGGAGATGCCCCCACTGCTGGCTGAACAATAGGGATAACTCTCCTAGTGGATCTGACCGGAAATGCTGCGAAGGGACTGGTCTTTCACTGCATTGTTCTGGTCGCTGCCCTGGAAGAGGACCTGGAGTGTGGATTTTGTGCCGGAGTTCTTGGTCTACCAACCACCAGCCTTCCTTCATCAAGGGCTCGCTGTATTTCGGCAACAAAGTCTGGTGGAGTGGCCGGATTTGTCCACTCAATCTCCATGGCATCAGCATTCAGTTCATCCCTCTCCGCATACCTCCGGAGTTCTTCCTGAACAGAGTTGACCTCCATCTTCATGTACTCGAGAGCTTCTGCCATAAGAGCATGTTGTGCTGCCTGACGCTCTTGTACAAGGAGGAGGGCCTGACTGCCCCGGGTCAACTGATTCTGCAGGCTGTGCTGGAGGTAGGTCTGGAGCTCTGTGAAGAACTGTGGAAGGGAGTCCTCGTCGGTATCTTGCCAGGCAGGCTCACAACCGGGGATGTAGGTTTGTAGAGCGGTCCTGGGCTTCTTGACAAGCTGTGTCTGCCCGTTGGCATCAAGCTGGAGGGGCACCGGCTGCCATTCAATCTGAAGGGGCACATCCGGAGCTGGGAGGGCGGACATTTTTGTATAGAGGAAGAATAATCTGAAGGTGACTTTGAGCCTTAAAGATTATCTGTAACGGGGGTCTCTTCTAAGAGAAATAGAATAGGATAGAATAGAGACGGCCGTGCAAGATAGACAATCCGGTTGCAGATTATTCAAAGATACTATCGCTAGAACTCAATAATCTTTAAGGGCTCTGCTACCGATAAGAACTTGATTTCCTTTCTGATGAAGACTGGAGAGAAAGGACTGAAGGGCGAGAATGAACCTGAGTACTTATACTCCGAAGGCTTCTATTCTCTGCTCCTAACTCCTTACTAAGTTCCGGTGATGCCTTTCCTCGGTCCGGAAACAATACCACCGCTACCCCGCTTTTCTCTAAGCGTCAGCAGGTGTTTCCGATACCCAAGGCAACCACCCTTAGTCAAAGCCTTTGTAACACCTGCAGCCTTGGTTGCCACACAACCGGGGCCTCCATGAATGAGCTGCCCCTCAGGTGTAAGCTTAATCATTGCTGTAGAGCTTTCGCTTATTGTAGACTTCCCTGGCATAGTCCCTGCCACTATCGGCGGTCCTACAATGCTCAGAGGATACAGAGGATCACCGGGCAATCAGAGCTTCGCTCTGGCCGGCCTTCTAGTCACTGGCGAGGCATAGACTCGTCAGTCATTGCTCCCATGAATAGATCCCCTTCCTAGCGCCCAGAATGTAGTTGTTCTAACAGCTGGTAGCTAACCACACTGCCGGTACTTGCATATCACTGTGCAACTGGCTTCTAACAATAACTCTCAGCATGTAACCGGGCCCTGTGTGTACTCATACACCAGACAGTTGAAATGGCTCCGTTACAGAACACCAGTTGGGTCAACAAAACCGTTTCCGGAGCAGCAGCGTTCAATGCTCTATGCCTCCATGTGTTGAACATACGCCCTCTCAGTGGTTTCCTGCCTATGTGGAACAGAGGCGATTCCGCAACCCGCAGAGCACTCGCGGACGCTTTGAAGTGGCTCATCGCTGATGTTGGACAGAAGGAAAAGCTATCGAGGGGGCAGGGAAATCGCGAGTATAAAGAAGTTGCTGACGATAGCGATGATGATGAGGACGGTGGTCTGCCCGCCCAACGCTCTAAGAAGCGTAAACGGGACCCAGTGTCCGCAGATCTCGATAGACCTTCCATAATGGTTACGGTGGTAGACCCGGATGCTCTAGGAGCATTCTCCAGGGTTGCCCCGCCCCCTATCTATGACTGGAACCATCGACGAAATCAGAATTCGTTCATTGGAGTTCTGACCAAGATAACGTTTCCAGGGCTCTGCAATTTGATCCTGAAGCACACCCCACCCGGCAGAGCAATCAGGAGTATCTGGGGAGCACTCGATAACGTTCCACTGGCATCCAATCCTCCTGTTCGGCCGATGGAGGTGCAGATCACTGATTCGGAAGAGGTCGAGGGTTGGTTGAAGAATAGCGTTGGCAGGCCTCGGAGGATACTGGCGGTACTCCACAGAGCGGGCGCGGGTGCTAATTTGGGTGGTGCTGAAACACCGCCGCTGACACGAGCATTCCCTCATATCGAGGAAGACGATTACACCACGATCGATATTCCAGCAGAGGACTCTGATTACGAGGAGGGAAATCACCGCATAAATGCTAAAGGACTGAGGGTATATTTGCCCAGAACTGATGCCAGTAATCAAAGGCTAATCCAGACTCTTGTTAGACGTCGCGATAGACAGCAGGATGCTATCGACGACTTAGACCCCAAATACCTGAGGAAGTATCCTCTGGGTGTAGGGGTTGCTGACGCAAACTTTGCTCAGGGAGTAATCTGGACGCCTGCCGGGATAGCAGCCAAGAGAGTTGCTGACGCACTCGCGGCTGCTGCTGGAGGCGGTGGTGGTGGTGGTGGTGGTGGTGGCAATCTTCCTCCGGGCGGTGGTGGTGGTTGTGAGGGATGCGTACCAGATCACAAGAGTACACTACGCAGAGCTCAGAGTTCGGCTAACAGCTACAAAGGTAGGAGTCTCCAAGGTCTCTTCAGTCAACGTCGAGTATGATTCTCCTTGATCCGATACGGGCCCCGCGAGCTACGTTATCAACAAAGATTCACTAGAGTTAGCGTATAGAATTCGACCGTCTTCGACGTAATAGTTCAGGTAGAGTTCGAAGTCACGATAGAGTAAAGTAATTCCAAAAGTATCGTCAAATAAAGTTGTAACTCGCGTATCAACGATTTATATTGTTAAGACTCTGATTTCGCCGATGATAGTTTGGCTAGTCAGTGAATGACACAGTATTTATATCCCTCGCTTATGTCTCGAGGACCCAGTCTACTAATAATACAGAATACACTCGGGGCATGCCCGAGACCCTGAAAAACAACCAAGAACATTCAACTCCTAAGTCCGTAACCCAAACTCCTAAACCTGCAGAAACCCCTCAACCTATTTACCCACTCTAATGCACGTTTCCCTGTCGATGTTTCTTCCCCATCGGCCGTCTGGTGGATAATCGTCAGCGTCGGCTATTCGGAGGTCTCGGACGGCAAGGCTACCTACTCAGGCCTCTTCCCACATCGCTTTCCCACATAGCAGAGTCCTCTCATGCCCACAGGTACCGCCGATAGGTACTCGGTCGGCTGGTAGCTTGCGCCGATTCGCTCCGAGTGGTCCGATCTTCGATCCGATTGATTCCAGCTGTCCCTCATATATCCACCGGTCCAAAAGCACTCCCCTCCGGCGGTTTGACGCTCCGGGGGTTATTATTGGGGTCGAAAACGTGTTTTTTATGACTCCGTGTTTTGGTCGTATATTGGTCGCACCACACCCCGCGGGTGCGGTCCAGAGTTATCATTAGCGTACAGAGAGTATTGGGGTATCTAGTAGCCTTTTCTCTTACTCCCGTAAATGCTTGGCATGCCCGTAACAGGGCAAATCCTGGATAAGAAAGCACGATCAGAAGCCATTGCAACAAAGCAACATCTCGAATCGCTGTTCGAGCTCGTCGCAAATGTTCGACAAGTACAAGAAGCCGCACGAGCCGCCGACCATGAGGTTCTGGAGCGTAATCATCAGAATACCCAGAACCAGCTACAAGAGGCGGAGCGACAACTAAGGCTAGTAAGGGAAGAGCGGGAGCAGGAAAAAAGGGAACAACGGGAGCTGTTTGCGCAATTCAAGCAGTCCGATGAAGCAAGAAACCAACGGATAGCCGAGATGGAGGAATGACTACGACAACATATGTCAGTAGCACCCTCCATGGTTAGTGGTCCCGTAGATCCTACCGCACCCCAAACGATTCCTGTTGGCAATGGCAAGAATCCCGAAAATGCTGGCCCTCAAACCTCAGGGAACTGTAAGCAACCAGAAGGAGCTGGCCCAGTAGGAGGAAATGGAGGAAAAGAACCGGAAGACGCCGGCCCAGTGTATGGAAATAGTGGTAGGCGACCGGTAGGAGCTGCTCCAGTAGGAGGGAATGGTGGGAATCAACCTCCCCGGAACCCACCAAGAGGAAACCTTGGGGGAGACCCAGAACCTTCCGACGACGATGACGACGATAACAGTGAATGGTCGCATGGTAGGAAGAACTGGAGAGTGAACCGAGGTGGGAACCGAAATTCGGCGCCGCCAGAGGACGAGGATATGGTAGATTCGCTCGCCAAAATACCCTTTGAGTTCGATAATGCCAGAAAGCATAACCTGTGGCATTGGCTCATGGAGTGCGAGATCTACTTCGAGCAGAAGCCAAAGAAGTTCCGAACGGATAGGAACAAGGTACTGTTCGCTGGAACGTATACGTGTGGGTTGGCAAAGGAATGGTTCATGGAATATATCGAAACCAAAATCTTGGGCCCGGCAGCTGCAGACTACGCCACTTGGACCCAGTTTCGCCAGGAAGTCAGGAAACGTTTCCTAAGCACTCAGGAAGCTATGGAAAATGCGATGAAGATGCAGCAGTTTAAGTACTCTGCTAACATCGGCGACTACTTGACAAGGATGGAGATCATGAACCAACATGCTCAGATCAAAGGAGCATCCTACCGCGCCGCCTTGCTCCAAGGGCTCCCGAATGAAATCCGGGAACGCCATTCACGCTTCGATCCAACCGATGACGACTCCGAGTACATCCAACAGTTGGAACGAGCCGGCAAGGCTCACGAGGCTTATCAAGAGCAAATGAAGATGTTGGGGAAAGCGGAGTCGAGAGGAAGGGAGTCGAACAATGGTGGGAACTCGCGGCAAAAGGACAAGGGGTTTAAGATCAAAGGGAGGGCTCAAGGTGAGGAGAAAGAAAAGGAGCAAACAAAGAAGAACACCAGCACGAAGAAGTCCGGGAATAAGCTAGTATTCCACGACTATGACGAAGCCACCAAAGGAGTCCTAAAAGCGGTCCTGGACCAGCGAAAGACTGATGGTGTCTGTGTGCGATGTGGCCGGAAAGGTCACCTCTGGAAATTGTGTCGCTCGGATGCTAACAGCAGTGCATCCATCTCCTCCTTCTCCCGTAAGCGTACCCGCGATGACGATGGCGACCACGATATGGAACCACCAGAACCCCAACCTCAGAGAAAGCGAATGAGGCACCGAGTAAAGAAGCCGGCTGCTGCTGCTGCGGCGGAGTACACCAGTGGGCAAGCGTTTGTGCGAGAATGTGGATCAGAATCTGAGATGGATTTCGATGAGGATTTTTAGGAGGGGACTCTGATGAGTCAGGTCAGGAGTATCCCCAGATTGCTATGTTATCACTGACGGAAAACAACAAAAAAAATATGAAAAGAAAAAGGCAGGAGAGGAGAGCGTCCCCACCGGAGAAAAAACAGAAAATTTTGGAGGAACCAATTCACGGTCCTCGATCTATCGTTAATCAGCTCATTTGTTTTGCGGATAAATGTTTACCTTGTAAGGTGTTGTTGGATACTGGAGCAACTGGTCCTGTGTTGTCTGCTGTTTTTGTTGATAGTTTTGAGGTCCTGAAGGTGAAACGAGACGTCCCGGCCCGGGTATTTGGATTTACGGGAGAAGTTATGAAGGGCACGGGACACGCCTTTACACAACCATTAATTATAATGTCAAGGGGGCATCAAACACAGTTATCATTCGAGATCGCCCCTCTCCCGCTTGGCATCGATGCAATATTACCGAACTGGTGGTTGAAAGAACACAGGCCGGTTATAGGGGCAAATGGGGAAGTTTCCTACGATGGCGAGAACTGCAAGAGTCGATGCTTCACTGACAAGGAACCTCAAATAGAGATGGACGAGGGTGTACTGGACGATCCGGAGGCCCAATTCATCGGTAGCATTTGTCTATTGGAAGATGAATCGGTTAACCTGCGCGAAACTCTTCCCTCTTGGCTCCACAAGTTCCTTAAAGTCTTCCTACCATCGGAAGCAGACAAACTACCACCGCATCGATCTTACGACCATGCGATAGACCTCGAACCAGGGAAGCAGCCACCATGGGGACCCGTTTACTCCCTATCCGAAGTCGAACTGAAGGTGCTTCGGGAGTACCTAGATAAAATGTTGCGATTGGGAAAGATTAGGCCAAGCAAATCACCGGCAGGAGCCCCAATCCTATTTGTGAAGAAGAAGGGCGGTAGTCTGCGACTCTGCGTTGACTACCGTGGACTTAACCGTGTGTCCATCAAGAACAGGTATCCGTTACCGCTTATGGACGAGCTGCGAGACCGAGTGGCAGGCGCGGTTATCTTCTCGAAGATTGACCTGAAGGAAGGTTACAACCTCATCAGGATCAAAGACGGCGACGAGTGGAAGACAGCCTTCCGTACGCGGTACGGGCATTTTGAGTACCTCGTCATGCCTTTTGGGCTGGCAAATGCGCCGGCGACCTTCCAGAACATGATGAATGAAGCGCTGAGGGAATTCTTGGATCAAGGTGTAGTAGTATACCTTGATGATATCCTAATATATAGCAAGTCTCGAGAAGAGCACAGAGAGTTGGTCGGCAAAGTCCTTAGTAGACTACAAGAATATAATTTAGTCGCCAACCCGAAGAAATCGTTCTTCGAGCTCACCGAAATCGAGTTCCTTGGATACATCCTTGCCCCAGCAGGCGTCACCATGGCACTGGATAAGGTCATGTCTGTTACGAATTGGCAAGCCCCGCGCAGCGTTAAGGAAGTACAGATCTTCATGGGCTTTGCCAACTTCTACAGAAGGCTTATCCACAATTTCTCCGGGGTCTGTAAACCCATTACCGATTGTCTCAGGGGTGATGCTAAGAACTTTGTCTGGTCTATGACGGCCCAAGCAGCCTTCGAAAAACTCAAAACCCTGTTTACGTCTGCGCCGATCTTGGTACACTTCTCTCCAGATCGCCAGACTATCGTGGAAACGGACGCAAGTGATTTTGCTATTGCCGCAATTCTATCCCAGGTCATTGACGGAAAGACTCACCCTGTTGCCTTCTATTCTCAAAAGCTTAACCCAGCGGAACTCAACTATGACGTCTGGGATAAGGAGATGCTAGGAATTGTGTCAGCCTTCAAGCAATGGCGTCACTACCTCGAAGGACCTAGCCGAACGGTCCTCGTCTATACGGATCACAGGAACTTAGAATACTTCTCAACAACCAAGGTTCTTAACCGACGACAGGCAAGGTGGGCTGAGTCTTTGGCGGAATTTGACTTCAAGATTATTTACCGCCCGGGAACCAAAAATGGGAAGGCAGATGCACTATCGCGACGGCCGGAGTACCGTCCTGAAGGGGGAGGCACGCTTGGGAAACAGCCTATAGATAGGTTCTTTAAGCCCGGACAGTTGGCGGAGGAAGAGTTTGTGGTATCAGCGGTGTCGCTTGCCTCCAAGGGGGTGATTGACTGGTCGAAGAACTTTCTGGACCATGTCAGGCAGGCGGCATCGGGAGACCCGACATGGGTAGGATTGAAAGAGAGAGTTGAGCAAGGAGAGAAGCTGGGGGAATTGAAGGATATCGCTGAGAAAGACGGGCTACTCTTCTATAAGAACCGACTCTACATTCCGGCAGACGATCGCATTAAGATCCGAATCGCACAGGCAGAACACGATTCGAAGGTGGCAGGACATTTTGGGCAAGACAAAACTTTGGAACTCATCACGCGTAATTTCTATTGGCCAAAAATGAACGACTGGATTGATGATTATGTTTGGTCATGTGACGAGTGCCAGTGCAACAAACCTAGCCGCCATAAGAAATACGGTGCGCTTCTACCACTGTCCACGCCACATTCTGTCTGGCAATCGATATCAATGGACTTTGTCGTGCAGTTACCGGAATCGAAGGGATATAACCAAATCTGGGTAGTAGTCGATAGGTTCTCGAAGATGTCGCACTTTATCCCCCTAGTAGCAGAAACGACCGCGCAGGATCTAGCAAAAATATTCCTCGGTCAAATCTGGCGACTTCATGGGCTGCCTCTTGATATAGTTTCCGACAGGGACGCCAAGTTTACTTCAAGCTTTTGGGCATCCCTTATGGAATTATTGGACGTGAGGATAAGAATGAGTACGGCTTTCCACCCTCAGACCGATGGGCAAACAGAGCGGGTCAACCAAACCCTCGAGCACTACCTACGAGCGTTCTGTAACTACGAACAAGATGATTGGGCAGAGCTACTCCCGTTGGTGGAGTATGCTTACAACAACTCGGTTACCACCGCCACGGGTCAATCTCCGTTCTATACCAATTACGGTTACAACCCAAGAACCAATTGGCCGACGGAAGCCGAAGTGGTCAACCCAACCAGTGACCTGTATGTGTGAGGGATGCGTACCAGACCACAGGAGTACACTACGCAGAGCTCAGAGTTCGGCTAACAGCTACAAAGGTAGAAGTCTCCAAGGTCTCTTCAGTCAACGTCGAGTATAAATCACCTTGATCCGATACGGGTCCCGCGAGCTACGTTATCAACAAAGATTCACTAGAGTTAGCGGATGGTATTCGACCGTCTTCGACGTAATAGTTCAGGTAGAGTATGAAGTCACAATAGAGTAAAGTATTTCGAATAGTATAGTCAAATAGAGTTGTAACTCGCGTATCAACAATTTATATTGCTAAGACTCTGATTTCGTCGATGATGGTTTGGCTAGTCAGTGAATGACACAGTATTTATATCCCTCGCTTATGTCTCGAGGACCCAGTCTACTAATAATACAGAATACACTCGGGGTCTGCCCGAGACCCTGAAAAACAACCAAGAACATTTAACTCCTAAGTCCGTAACCCAACTCCTAAGTCCGCTGAAACCCCTCAACCTATTTACCCATTCTAATGCACGTTTCCCTGTCGATGTTTCCTCTCAATCGGCCTTCTGGTGGATAATCGTCAGCGTCGGCTACTCGTAGGTCTCGGACGACAAGGCTACCTACTCAGGCCTCTTCCCACATCGCTTTCCCACATAGCAGAGTCCTCTCATGCCCACAGGTACCGCCGATAGGTACTCGGTCGGCTGGTAGCTTGCGCCGGTTCGCTCCGAGTGATTCGATCTTCGATCCGATTGCTTCCAGCTGTCCCTCATATATCCACCGGTCCAAAAGCACTCCCCTCCGGCGGTTTGACGCTCCGGGGGTTATTATTGGAGTCGAAAACGTGTTTTTTAACTAGGAAAACCGCAACTCCGCATTTGGTCGCATATTGATCGCACCGCACCGTGTGGGTGCGAACCGAAGTTGATATTGGTGTTGCCATTAGTGTTAGAGGGTATTGGGGTATCTACTAGCCTTTCTCTCACTCCCGTAAATGCTTGGCATGCCCGTAACAGATGGCCAGTTGGTTCTGGGTTCATAACCATAGTTGGCATAAAAAGCCGATACTTTGGTAGACTCAGAGACCCCCGAGTTATATGCATACTCTGCCAAAGGCAAGAGGTCTACCCAGTCATCCTGTTGATATAAACAATAACTCCGCAAGTAATGTTCCAGAGTCTGGTTAACTCTCTCTGTTTGACCGTCCGTTTGGGGGTGGATATAACGTGGGTCTATGGACGAAGGACTATAGTGCCAAGGAATACAACCGAGGCGAGGACTTAGTATCAAGGGATGCGGGACTATAGACTATGGGGTGGTTCAATCTTGATCAAAGATCCAAGATAACCCTATGACGTAGCGTAGAACAAAAGTAATATTCGTAGAATGAATACAGAAGAAGAAGAAACTTATATTGCTTTGAAGTACAAGACTTATCGCACGCCGACCCGACCGCCTAGAACAAAACCAAACAGAAAAGAAAAGAAAAAGAAAAACAACGAACAACGAACACGAACAAACAAGAACAAACAAGAACAAAACAAACAAAGACAAGGACTTTCAAAGACAACACGCGACCAAAGAAATCCAACGACCAGAAAAATAACATATCTCAGCGGACTCAGGCGTTGGATCCATCGAAAACAAAGTTAAAAACAAAAGCGAGAATAAAAGGTAAAAGGAAACTATCCTTCCTAGTCCCGTCCCTAATCATTTTCTTCCATCCCCTCTTCCAGGTCCGCCTCCGCCTCCACCGACTCGTACCATTTCGAGACTTGAGATTTCTTTGCAAATTGTAGGATGAGGTCCGTTTTCAGGTTTGTGAACATCCAGTTTTCCCAGGTCATCGCTCCGGGGATTTTCTCTATCAGAGGGGCGCGGATTCGAGCCCACGCTGGGCATTCCATAAGTGTATGTTTCGCTGAGTTTTCCATACCACACTGGCAT